ATGCAATAATTTTGTTGTGACACACATTTTTTTTATACTTAATGAACAATACGTTCGTTGCATTATAACAATTTGTATACATTTTAACTATAGCAAAATTATTTCGTTGATAAAAATGGAATACTTCGAAAATTGTTTCCCAGTTGAACGACCGGCCGAAAATATAACAAACGAAAAATAAATTCGATTTTTGACGATGAGAGAATATTAACCAATAAAAAAAACAAGTGTAATCGATATGATCTATGCCATATCAATAGACTATAGAGTAAACTATTATTTGAAGCAAGGCCCGATTTAGATATTTTGAACTATAAGGAGATAAAAAAGTATTTTTCTTTATTTAATTTGTTGGACATAATTTTAGGACTGACCAAATTTGTGACAAATCTGAAAATTAGACTTAAGGTAGACGTAGAGTAGGGCTATGACACAGTTTTCTCAAAAGTTAATGGTCAAACTTTTTTATTTTATTAAAGAAAAAAATCACACTCGACGGCGTACTAAATTTGGAGGTTGCTATGTGTAAACGAATCAACAGGTATCGAAAAAATGTTTTTGTAAAAAGCACTAAGTAACTACATAATTTAGAGACTGTTAACAGCTAGGGTGTTTTTATATTTAGTTTCTTCTTAGCCTAATTTATATAACTGTTCTTTCCTATAAGCTAAAGAAATCGCACCTCTTCATACATGGAGACTATATAACTTATTATCCCCCATAAACAGGACATTAGCCTCATGTAGTAATATTAATTTGTACTGTATTATTAAATAATAAGAAAATCCCTTTAATTTGAATAAGCACGTACATATCTTGGTATTTTTTCCCCCTATTAACCATTGCCTAATGGGTAATAGAGCCCTGGATTTTTAAGAGATATCAGTAAAATATCGCATATTTTGTCAATACACTACTTCATAGAAGTGCTATACACATAAACGGCGACCGATTGCATGTGGGATTTATATGATTGACCGATACGACGATTACTGTTTAAACCGCTACAGGGGCTGTTATTGACGGCAACAGACATTTTGCACCAACATAAGTTGACCAATTAAAATAATAAAGAGTTAAAGTGAAGTGTAATGGATACTATTAGTATAGTAATAATATTACTGTTTTCGATTATGGCTAATTTCCTTTAAAATGTTGTTAAATGAAAATAACTAACATAACCCCGATATAAGGTTTTTTACTTATTGCTTATTTTTAATTAATTATTTGTCTTGAATATAGCACAAATATTGCGCTGTTATGTTAAGAAATATGCAATTTTGTACAAATGCCGTACAATGAGTACTTATTTTAAAATACACGACGCAGTATCTAATATTGTTTTTTATAATTACTGATATTATTTGAATGTGACGTTACCATCGTAACCTCTAATTTCTGTATACGGGCATACGGCTACAACAAACTCGGTGGCCTCTACTAAAAAATGTTACAATAGGTACATAACAACACCTGCCTAACCTATGAACTCAGGGTATAATTTTATTATAACATAATAATGTCTTTAACTTTTCTACTAAAACACGTGGTAAATGATAATAATAAATAAAAATACGGTATTTTAATACAATAGAATACAAGGAACGACGTCGGTATCCAATATTATGTAGAAACATTTATGTACAATATATAACAATAATAATGATAAATATATATTTTATAAATATTAACAATACCACCGGAAAACCTCACGAGTATCGGATGACATATGGTGTACATGTTGGTTGTGCACGGCGAAAATGTGAAACTCTCTATTATTATTTTTTAACCCATCAAACCATAAGTTAGGGATTAACAGATCCTCTTGTATAGTATAGCAGGTAGCGAATATGGGTTTATAGGACGCGATCCTTTGAAAATGAAATTATAACACCATATAGGTTTTCTTTAAATATATAATTCTATAACGTTATTATTTGACACCGGGATGCTGAAGAACCTACGGAATGCATACGGTTAGAATTATTTATACTTGGAACCCGGTATGTCACCATCCCGAAAGTTGGCAGAGTGCCAACCAAATTCTAGACAGGAAAACGAGACAACTGAGAAGAACGTTATTTGGACATTAAAAGAGTTACGTTTTAATTCATTAAATGTAGCTTAAACAGATAAAACAAAGAGAACATTGTTGTTTTTTGGAGGACACCTAGTTTGGGCACTTAATGTGTTTAACCAAGATACTCTATATAATATACAATAATTAAATTTGGGCACTTATTGCTATTTCTGATGAAAAAAACTTATCGACACGTCTTACAAAAAGTAGCACCGTTCGAGGCTTCTTACGAAAACTAGTGTTTGTAAGAACTTGAACGGTTCTACTTTTCGTAAGAATCTGAGAACGGTGCTACTTTTCGTAAGACGAGTCGTTACGTACTCTGTAGTTCTTCCCACCTTGGATCTAGGGTCATCACTAATTTTATTTTAAGCATTGATTTTAGAATACACAGATAAGCGGTGCTATACACAAAAATGGCGACCGATTTTTATGTGGATTCAAGCTAGCAACAGAAGTACCCTCGTCATAGTTTATGGACGGGCGGATGGTATACTATGACGAGGGTACCTCCATTGCCAGCGGGAATCCCACATACAATCCGTCGCCGTTTTTGTGTATAGCACCGCTTATCTGTATACTCTAAAATCAATATTTTAAGTAATTTTTGTAAATAACCATTGAAGTCTCCATTTTTCATAAGAACTTTTGTTAGATTTACTATTAAATATTAATAAACTTATACTTAAAAAAATTAAGTACTCATAAGAAAACTTTTTTTAAACAAAATAACATAGCATTGCACGTGTATTGCATAACTCATTTTGAAATCCAGTTTTACACCTATAGTGCAAATATCAAAGCAATACGAAAAATGTTCGAACACCAATTTTTTTTCATCTGAAAGAGACCCCACTTTTTTTTACTAATTGTAAAAAAATCAACACCTCAATTAGTTTATGGGCCTAATAATGATATTTGTGAGTCATTGGTTAATGGGTATTTAATATTTATTATAAATAGCTATTTGTTGGTCGAATGGCTCAATAAAATTATCTGTCATCTTAATTAAAATTTTATTAATTTTGATCAAATATATCATTACTATAAAATTTTAGTTTATTGTAATTAAATATAAAGTTGAATATTAAGCTATAGCTATTAATAGGTTACCTATATTTTTAAATAATATTTGTTTAGTTATTTTAATACAATACTTAGTTATATCTTTAGTAAGTAAACAAAAGGAGTTAAACTCATTTTTTTTAAAAGTGGGTTTTAACTTAATAAAAACCTTTTTTTTTATAATACTTAAATATAAAATTGGTATTTTTGAGTTAATATCTTTTATCCGCCCGATAAAATAATATTATATTAAGTTTCTTGAACACAGACTCGCCAAATAATTTTTTTTATTAATGCCATACAAAATAATAAATAATGATTCATGTAATTCATGTAATTCATCAATGGTTAACCCTTTCGTTACTGACATCCTCGCACAAGGATTTAACATTAAAAATCGAATAAAATATTAACAACATACTATCATTATCATTACTATCAAAAATGTCTTTAAACACAAGTTCTAGTATAGATTGATGATAAAAAAATTGACACAGCTATATTGATAATCAGTATCGGTCCGATATGTAAAAAAATTGTTGGTTATTTTATCGAAAAAAAAAAATCCCTGGAACAAAATTGTTAACATTTTTTTCGATTCAAATTATGCCTACACCTATTATAGGCTTTTATCAACTTTTAACAAATCATTTAACATTTTCAAAAACAAATACAAATTGTGAGCCACATTCACAAAGAAAATATAGCAACAATTGTTAAAAAAATTAAAAAATTAAAGTGTATACAATTTATTTTACAATATATTAAAAAATATATAATTTTGTAACAATAAATAAATAGAATCTGATGTAATAAATATTATTTTCAAATAATAGTTGCTATATTAAACAAGTACATACAAAAATATAGTTATAGTTCTTACATGCAAATTTAATTTATTTTAATTAGGTATTATGAAATTGTATTCTTTGTTATGCTATGTTACATAACTAACAAAATTTATTTAAGCCTCTGTCCCTAGAAATTAAACTCTGCCTGCCAATAGAGAAATATTATCTTAATTTCAGCCCTAACATATATAAAAATAATAAATATAGGTTAAACATGAAATCCTACGTACCTATGTGTTGATCCCCCATGTAAACTAGTTAAGCTAGTTCGAAACTAGTATAATTTGGCATAATTAAAACCTGTGTGCACAATTAACCATGTAAATAAAATAATATAATTTTGAACTAATTAATTATAATTGTTTTCTTTTTTAACTATTACATTGTTCAACATTTACTAGAGTTGTACTTTAAATTTGACAAACCTAAGACATGAATAACAAGGTACTTTTATCGTTTACCTTTACAGCATGGAGAATATTATTATAAATTATATTTTACTTATCAATAAGGTCACCTAAATGCTGTCAATTTAATAATGAATGTTTTAATTTCAAAGTAATTACATTATTTAAGTAGAATGAAACAAACATATTATTACACTGCAAGTATAAATTATGGTAGCGTAACTAATTACACCATAGTACGATATCCTAAAATTACTAATGAAGTTAAAGTTAACATTTTACAACAAATAAATAAGTGAATAAGCCTTTCAATTAGTATATTTTCTTAAAACAAAATATATATTTTATTTAAAGTTGATAAAAAATATAGGTATAATACCCAATAAATTAGCATACAATAAGTCACTGTTCTACCTAGTTGTGTCCAACAATTTGATTATAAAGTAGGTATGTAAGTTGTAACTTAATTTAAGAAATTATTTATTAAAAATAAAAATAAATTTGTTTTATTTATGATCTCAATATTTTTTTGGGATTTAACACTCAAGGTATCATAGAAATATATTATTTTACTACCTGCTAACAAAAAATATTTACCTCCAATTTGTGTCCAGTATTTATTTTCACTTGAGTGTTATGAATAAAAGTTCACAGCATTTGGAGTTATCCCATAGGTATTTGTACACAATGTTAATATAAGACACACGTTGACGGATGAATACTATTGGAAGCATAAATAAACTATATTATGTACAATTTTAACACCAATCTCGAACGACCATTTAATAGCACAGCTTGTTGGTTACTTAATTTACACAAAGAGCGAGCGGGGACAAACTAAGAAAATACTAAACTACAAATTCTTTATAATACGTGAAATTATCTAAACATTATGAATTGAAGAGATAAACGAGAAACGACAACAGTATAACACCCTAGCGCGAAACACACGGTCCGACTGCGAAGTGCGAATGATAAAAAAAAGAGAGAGAGGAAACAAAAACATAACGGGTCGGTCGCAGCTGCATTGACAGTGCTGCCACTTTTAAAACAAATGCCTGATTTTAAAAATTAAAACAAACATTTTCATGATTTCTCAAACAAAAACTTAAAACAATAACCATATTATTAAATTTGCAATAAATGTTACGCAGAAAATTAAATAGTGTTGTATTTTTCTTTAGTCTTGTGACTCAGTATATTTATAAATTATATTTACCTAGTTTATAATATGTAAGGATAATAATAGGCTCGAAGGGCGTTATCGGTAATAAACAATAATAAATCTGATAATAAACAAACAGAATAATTCATAATGAGATCATTTATTTCTGATGGGGCCTATTCAAGAAAAATAATAAGATTTATTCAGCTTTGAACGTTTTTCAATTACGGTATTTTTCTTAAGACCTTTTTAGCACAGTGTCGCAACCAAGGGGGGTCCTCGGGTCCAGACTCCTCCCTTGAGTATTTCTAGAGTGGAAAATTGGATAAGGTAATTTTAGTTATTGTCTAATTATACTTTACAACAAACAATATTTATTCATTTTGGCAATATAATAATTTTGTTTTGGCCTGCTTTGCGGCAGTTAACAAATAGTTATCACATATTGTCATTTTCTTATATCACACATGGACCTTATACCTAAAAACTGTATTTTGGACCCCCCTTCAAGGGATATTTCTGGTTGCGCTACTGTTTTAGCATGCCGCTATTTCACGTGATATATGCATACAAGCTCATTAAAATTACGCTTTTATATTTAGTTTATAGAGTTTACATTTCCACCTGTTATCATTAATTATAGTGGTTAATGTTTTTTTTTTAATACGGTTTACAATTATTTATCTATTAGTAAATCCTACATCATATTTTAAACCCGCGTATGAATCAAGAACCAAGGATTACTGAAAAATAGTTATTTTTAAACATAAACCATTAGCATTGAGTTTAATGTTATATTGACTTTTGTGCAAGTATACATTTTGCCATTACTAAGTACTAGGTATCCTATAATCCCAAAACAGATTGCCTACAAAGTACAAATTACAATGTTTATAAATTATACAATGTGTACGAAAAATGTTATCGAACATTTATACTAAGTTACTAGGTCTAATACAAATAATTTGCTCATTTATTATATTAAACATATTTAAGTATTTTTATCAAAATATACTGTTTTACAATTTTCAATAATACAACTTTGTTGTATCTCAATTTAACCTTCAAGTCGTATATTTACAGTATAGATTATTTTTATTGTTTATTTTATTGTTAAATGTTACATAAATTTAATTATATTTTATTTTTATAATAGCGAGTAAGAGGTAGTCAGAAAGATCGAAGTTGATGAGTGTTATAAATAAGAATTGAATCTGTGTGGAATGAATAAAATAAGAGTGAAGGATAGATTTATGGACTAGTTGAGAACCAGTTTTAAATAATTACTTTAAAAGTAATAAAAGTTTAAAATTTAGGACGTGAAGTCGAGTGCGGTTGAGTAATGCGCGCAGATAAAAATAATACCACACTCCATCCCCCCCGTCTTAAATTTATTAAAAAAAAACTAAAAAGTAATTATTCAAAACTGGTTATCGTCCAGTTAAAATTGTAAGCAAATTATTCTTATTTTAACAATTTAATTAATTATATACATTTCCATTTAAGTTTCAAATAGCGCTCTGTAAAATAAAAACAAGTAAATATTTAATAATTTTATGATATTGTAAAATAATATAACATACAGTGGCGTATTTAGTGGGCGGGTTAGGGGGTTGTGGTTACAACCCCCCCCCCCCCCCCCCGAAAGTTGTTTCTAAATTTTAAAATAATATTATAAACATCAAATATGTACAAAATATAAAATACAAAAATTAAAAAAAATACAAATAATAACTGAACTTAGAGTTTGATTATATTTTTATCGAATGAAATCATTTTCCGGTAATACAAATCCCCAGCAAAAATCTAACAGTTAAAAAAGGCCAAGTTCCAGACCCCTCCCAAAAATGTCAGCCTATCAAAATAGTGATATCTACATTGTGGCCAAGTCTACTATTTCTTTAGTTCATAACCACACTTCACTCCTACTTTCTTGAGCAACACTGCTCTTTTATTTGTATTCCTGAACACTTGGCCAGTTTGTGAATAAAACACGACCTTTCCGAATGAGGCATAAAACAGACTTGGCCGCAATGTAGATACCACTACTTTGACTGATTGACTTTTACGAGAGGGGAACTGAACCTTTTTCTTGTTTTCTGAGTTCTCTTCTACCCATCAACCACATAACTCCTAAGTGAGTACATTTGATAATGATGTTTCATGCTTAATCAGTAACTGGCCAAGTGTTAAGCAACACAAATAAAAGAAATAGTAGACTTGGCGACAGTGTAGATCTACTTTGAAAGACTGATATTTTTGGGAGGGGTCTGGAACTTGACCTTTTTTCACTTACACCCCCACCCCGAAAAAATTCTGTATACGCCACTGATAACATAAATGTTTTTCAAAAAGAATATTTATTAAGTTGCAATTATTTTAAAGAAAATTAATGTTTTATGTCAAATAGATCACCTGTGTCCTGTATAATACACAGAATGTCACATACTATGAACATTAAACGAATAAACTATAAAGTGTTCAATATAATTGATAATATAACGCGATATTTATGTACAACGTATACACTAGGTAGCAAAATATTTGATTGGGGATTTTAAAGTTATTTTAGTATGTAAAAACTAAAAAGTGGATATACGGCCTTATATAAAGTATAAAAAATGAAACAGAAAATTGTATCATATGTCCATTTAAAATACGCCGTTGAGGTTTTTGACTCCTTTAGGCTTCAGCATCTTACGCTCTGACCTCTAGAATAATTGTGGGCTTGGGAATTGTGGAATTGTCAACGAACACACTGCTTAAAATTAAAGTTTGACGTATAATATAAATATTGTTGTTGGTTAAAAAAATTAAAATTAATAAAAATAAATAAATTAAAAATTAAGTTAATTAAAAATTTGGTATAAATGAAAACTTTTAACTATTGATTAGTTATAAAGTATAGCTTATAGGCGATAATGAATAATTATTTATTTACTTATCAATATTTGGTAATATAAATTAGGATACATTAGTACCAAAATACCGAAAGTACTCTCTACTCAGGTATTCAATTTTATAATTGGCTGTCATGCCGCATGCTTGTGCAATTTAATGAAATTGCGGTAATTTATTTATGAGGCCCAAATATTTTTTGATGAGAGGTATGTTAACACATTACTAGTTTATAAGAACATTATGCAAGGTGATCCCTGTGGGTGGGGATTAGAATACACCCTCGGTAGTCCATGCCTGTCGTAAGAACCGACTAAAATGGACCTAGTAGTGGGTAGCAGCGCTACTAGTATCAAGCGTAAATTATTTATTTACGCTTGAGTAGTATCCCTTAGAAATAAGGTATGCTACTGCGATTAAGGAAAGCAAAGGGAAACTACCCTGATTAACTCCTTCCCAAGAAAACCCATCTGATGGGTCACCAAACTTCCGCTTTTGGAAGAAGGACTTAAGAAGAAGATGCAAGGTGAAAGATAAATTATTTTGTATGTTGTATATAGACCCTATTCAGAGATTAGGGGACAACTTCCGTCTTCCAGTCTCCAGAGTACTACAGAGACCACAGTACAGGTAATAATATAATGATATATAACGATTATCTAGGGGAGGAAGCTGTGAGATGTACGACGTGCCACGTGGTTATTTGCGTTGTTTTGTGCATTTGAAGAGAATATAATTGTTGTTGGCTATTGAGACGACATAAACTAGGAAAAAGGAATTATTTTGAGAAAGTCTTTCCTTAATCCTTACCATTTCTCAATTAAAATAAAACAAGATACATAGTTAGTTTTATTAAGGTTGGCTGCTTTTCCTAGCATGGTGGCCAGCGGGACTGGTAGGATTACACTAGGTAACTTTAGCCGTTTACATTGACAACTGTTTTTTGTCTATACGGAAAAAAAATCATGCAACAAGTTTCATCTGAAAGCTCCAGTATCTAACAAAATATTATAGCCTTTTTATTGGAACGACTGCAATTATTGTTGATTGTATAGATGTAAATTAATTTAATTTTTCTAAACTTTTTTACTTTTTTTTTATCGTTACACCCGATATGATAACGATTAACTAGCAAATTGAGACCTTAGGGATGGCTAACATTGAAGTGGGTCATAAATCGTTCGCTTAGAAGCCTCACACGGTCATGGCTATATATGCATATATATATATATTATTCATAAATTAGACATTATAACGTTTGTGTTCGTTCATCCGCTGGGCGTGCCATTCCATCATTTCGATCTGGTGGCCATAGATGTGTTTTGTAACAACGGACGTTAAGTATACATATATATACATAAAGATAGATTTGAATTGTGTACTACGGTATACTTAATTGTTTGATATAATTCGTTTTGTCATGTGTCGCGAGGGTCGAACGCCTAGACACCGTAAAGAGTGCATTGGCCGGATGAATAATAATAATATCGTGGCAACAATACAGCTTCTCTACTAAGATAAGTGTAGAAGTCTGTGCAACAATACGATGATAGATAAGTCAAGTCGTCATCGTTGTTCGTATTCTGTGTCACATCCATGCAGCATCTAATCAGCGATCCGTAAATCGTTATCCGCACAATGCTCATTATTTAATGATTATTTAGCCATGTTGTACGATGTCATCTCGATTATCATCGCAGATACGACAAAAACATGCAAGTATAATTATTAGTGTACACTTACTGCTTACTGCCTGGTGCCTATGCCCTGTATGCATAATGCAGTATGCTGTACATATAACTGCAATATGTGTAACCTTTTAGAGGCTGTAAGCAAGTACTATTATTTCGTTTTACGCTGTAAGGCGTAAGCCAAAGTGGAATAAAAAATCCACCTTGGCGTGAGCTGATTGTAATCAGTAACGTTATCAGTTATCACAGTATTATGGAATCGCGGTTCGGCCAATGACGAGCCGAGCTTACACATCGTACGATAATGCTCGTTACGTTGTTGGCACCGTCGTCTCGTACTATACAATTTTAAACGACGCTTATCATAACGGCGCTATAGAGTATAGAGTATACAAAAACATTTAACTGATGGTAGATTTTTTTAAGTTTTAAACTTCAAATTTGTTTGGTTTTTTTAGTCAGAAGCGGTCTTATGGAGTCGCCGGCTAACGGTGACGTTGCAGCAGCCAACTGCTTGACACCCAACTATTTGCAAGCTGACATCTCCAAAGATGGATCGTTCTACGGCGTTTTTGTTGAAACTGACAAAGACGAAAGTGGTAATATTTATTAAGCGATTTCTTTCAGTCTAAATTCCCAAAACTAAACTTAACGTTCTTTTGATTTTCACAGGTACTCCTAAAGTCTTTTCTAAACTCAAGGAAACACTGTCTGCAATTAAATCTAATAAGGCGGCTAGGTTTAAAATTTTCAGGTCGGCATCTGAAGCTGAACACTTCAGCATATTTGGTCAGGAATCACCAGTTAAACCATCTGAGAAAAATATATCGAACAATGTTCCTTCCAGCTTTGGTTTCAAATCTCTAAAGTCGGAGGAGCTTGTTGCATTTAGGCGTCTCATTGAAAGTGGTGATGTCGAAAAAGTAAAGCAAGCTATTAATTCAAATCCAAAGTTTCTAGTAAGCAGTGGAGATACACCTTCAATTATTCAGGTATTTAATAGTTATTGTACATTAAACTCAATATTAGTGGTGCATAAGTAGTGTTTTTTGCTTTTATGGAAACCTCGGGAGGTGTTATTTTAAAATTTTTTATTTTGCATCTGTACCTATTATAACTTGGTTTTTGGTAATTATATATAGAAATTGTGTATAAAATTAACTTTTTAATATTTGAAACCTTTAGGTTATTAATAGGTTACTAATATTTATTAATAATTTTAAAGGTATTTTTAAATGCTTCATTTTTATGCTATATTATCAATGTACAACTGCCCTAATATTACATATTATTTTATTCAAAATTATTATTATTATTTTCAAACTATTAAGGAAGAAATGAATTAAATATCTAAAATTGCTTATAACTATGTTTAATTTATTTATAGGAAGGTTGTCGATATAACGCTATGCATGTTGCTGCTCGGTATAACCAAGCAGTTATTATTCATTTCATAATGGAGTGCGTCACTAATCCAGATTTTATTAAAAGTCTATATGGAATTGAACAGTCATATTTATCTCGTAGTGAAATAATTACAGATTTATATTTGAATACTCCTGACAAAGCAGCTAATGACACTCCACTTCATATTGCTTCAAAATTTGGTCATGTAGATGTAGTGAGAGAACTTGTCTCATATGACAAATGTATATTAACCTCAAGAAACAAATATGGCCAGATTCCAAAAGACGTAAGATTTTTTATTTATCTAAATTCTGAAAATTGCACCATTGATTTTAAAATGTACAGATTAGGGAACAAATTTACTTAAAGAACACCCTTTATGGCATTTTTATTTTGTCATATTGTAGTGTTTTTATGCTGATTACGATGTATAATAGTAGCGGCATGCAATGGTGAAGTGGTAGTGACGATAGGCGTTCGGCGGTCACTGCATCATGCAGCTGTTGTCGGCGAGACAAATTGCGATTGAAAACACAACATTTTGTTTCCAATTCGGTAACAATAAATAATAAATAAAAAATTACTATGATCATAATATTATACCAACAGTTGTAGCAAAAAAAAAAACAACGAAAAGCAGGGATAAAATAATATTACATACCAAAACTCCGGTCTTACGCCTCCAAACCCCCAAACAAAAAAATAGCTTGCTTAAAAGACTAAACTAACCTAGTACTGCTCTGGAAGCGTCAGCAACTTAATGAGCCCGAACAAAACCTACCTTTCAAAATAACAAAAAAGTAATAGGCTCTTATGTAACTGTTCGGCACCCACTGCTATTGCACGCCTTGGTCGCGCGCCCTGCGGTTAACTGTTATATATGTGGACAAATTCAAAGTTCCAAATAGCTATAATTTTGGAACTAGAGGAGTCTGCCGATTCTCAACTTCAGACTTGTAATCAGCGTAAAAACATTACAAGATATTAAAAAAAAGGGTGACTGGTAAAGTAAATTTATGCCCAGAAATGCAGTGCTATATACAAGAATGATGACTGTTTATGGATGGGCGGATGGTAAACTATGAAGATGGTATTGCTGTTGTTCCTACATAAATTCGGTTGCTGTTCTTGTTTATAGCACCACTTATCTGTATATTTTAAAATCAATGGTTGTACTAATAAAATTGTTTACTTTTTTTTACACCTGTCCACATTGATTAAAATGTGCTATTTACAGGTTATATGTTCAAGAGGAAATAAACCGGCATACAATGAAATATTAAATTTATTAGAGGATGGATATTTTGTTCCTATGTGGAAATCGGATGACGATTGTGTACAACCCACAATTGGAAAACCGTTTTCACCAAAATCTTCACCAGTAATATCAGTAACACAGGTAAATAAGCCATAAAGTAGAACATAATGTATAATATTCTGTGTCTATAGTTGCAGTGAGACAAGGTTATAAACTTGTTTCAATACATATAATATAGGTTTCACCTGACATTATACTTTTGCTCTGCCTTTATGTTGACAAAAAAAAGCATGTCATTAATAAGTTTTAAAAGTATTTATTAGTATCGATTTAATAAGTGCAGTTGGTTATAACTTAAGAATTCCTAATTAGAAACATTTTTTCCTTTTAAAAAATTAAATACTACTCTATTAGGGGTTATCACTTTTATAATAATAATAATAATATTTTCTCATAATACTTTTATAATTTTTCACTACTAAATGGCTCTAACTGATGTAAAAAAAATATACGCTAAAAATACACATAAAACTAACAGTAAGTTAACATGATTGAAATTAAAAAATTGCCTATAGTTTGCAACTATCATTTTCGAGAATGGAACCCCCTTAATAATGTTAAATTTTATAGTTTGAAAATGAATGCCTTAAAACCTTGAGTCCAGTACTTGAGATAAGAGCTATAGCAGGACCAATGAATGAACCACAAGCTCAACAATTTTGGAAAGACTGGAAGTCGCCAGTACGGAAGTCACTATTATCACCTTCTCCAAAAAAGTTACATCATAGCCCAAAACAAAAGGAAATATATGACAAAAGTTTTGAAAAAGCAGGAAGGTATTTTTTATTGTAATCAAATATTTAACTTATTTTTTTATAAATCTGTCTGTTTTGTAGAGAACTGGCTGAAATAAAAAAAGTCGGATGGGCAGAATATTGGCCTTTTTTAGATCGAATAGTTGATCTGCGAACAGAAAGAGGTCTTGATCTTCTTGAAAATTATTTAAAACAGAGATTTGATTCAAAAGAACAAGAAAATGATGAAAAGTCAAATGTAACGGAGCCAACGATATTGTTAAGTCCTATGGGTGAATTATGTAAAGCATTGGAAACGATGAGAATTGGAAGTAATCCAAAACAAAAAAGTATTAGGCGTTCTACACTTGTATCTTATACCTGTTTAGTCAAGTCGTGCAAAGTATGGATATGAGGAAACTTTTATAATATTTGTTTACACTTTTTTGCTATTTTAATCTAATTTTAGGTGTTAAGTGAACGTTTACTAAAAGTAATCATATCTGAATGCGAGAATACACAAGATATTGAATTATTGGCTAGCCGTTTGTGTCATGAAGTAAGACATTTATTAGTTTTGGAAGACAGTTTCTATTCAGATAGTCGGTTTGATCAAAACATACAGGGTAAAATTCATGGAAGAGTGGCTATGAATTTGTGTCAGTTATTTAGAGACAATTATGAGGGTAATTTAAAAATAAATGAATTGGTTAACTCTCTGAAAAGTTATTACATGTAAGTTAAAAATACAATGTAATTTTGTTTATCTTGATAAGTATAATTTGTATAATTTCAAAATTAATTTTATTTTACGTTGCAGGTTTAGTGGGGGAGTTGAAACTCGTAGTGAAAACACTGCAGCTTGTCTAACTCGATTAATGTCTAAAATGTTAAACGACACTTCTTCATTAAATTGTTTACAGCAACATGTTGAGAATGAAGAAGATTGTAAAGAATGGTTTTTAAATACTGAAGCATGTTTATGCAATATCGGTTGTAAATCACGACTGAAACCTAAACAGCTATTTATGGGTAAGTAGCCTTAGTCAACCCTTCTTTTATTTATACATTTTTGAAAAGGAACTGTAATTGTCTAGTTCCCCTCGAGCGACAAACTGAGAACCCATTTCTTATTATATGCATTTTTCAGAAAAACCTTCTTAAGAGGGAACGTCGCGGTAGTTCTACAGCTTAATGGGCTGCTTAAGCTGATTTTAGTTTATTTTTTATATTCTTATTACTATTGTAATGATAAATGAATAATTCTTAACTATTCGCTTAATTAAAAATATGGGGTTAGTAGGCATTACTGGATTGCTATTTTATATTTCAACTTGACTTTGTGGTGATATTTAATTATATTAAATATCAATTTAAAATATTTTATTAAAAATCTGCTATTTCACATATTTAAATTTGTTTATTTTAATCACTAATTCAATACAACTTCACCATGACACTAAATTGTATATTATATATACATTAAATAAATTAAACAATTTATATTATATTAGATATTTTTGTTTCATTTTTCTAATAGTTTACCCATCGATAGATTAAATAAGAAGACCCTAAAATGTCAAATCTCTAGCTCAACTCTACTTCTTCATAAGTCATAAACATGGAAAATTTTAATTTTTTCTTAAAATAAGTCTAACATAAAAACTTATCAAATTGTTTTCAATTTAAAAAATATTTTTGAAGTTATAATATGCCATTAAAAGATATATTTTGTGATATCATTTTTTTATTATCACATTATCAGTTTTAATGTGCTGTAACTTGATAAAACCAATATTTATTCGATCATTTTTCAAGTTAGATCTTTTTAAATGAAAATTAAACTTTTCTGTTATATGTTATAAAAAAAAAGCATGAAGATTTACTATAGCTTAAGTTAGAGGTTCAACATTTTAGGGATTTCTTATTCGAATTTTTAAATTTATATTTAAAAAATAAAACATGTTATTTTTAGATTAATGTGTGTTTCTAATATATGTTATTTATGCATTTTGTTTGTTTACTAGATGATGATAACCTTTCAAACGTTAATCAAGATGTAATATCTCAAATAAATATCATAAAACGTAAGTAATAATTAAAAATTTCACTTTCTCTTAACTCAATAGCCAAGATTCACTTAAGTATCTTTCTCTTTAGATCTTAATTATAATAATGTCTTCAACTGTGTATATATATACTGTTTTAATGTATTAATATAAATGAATAATGTGATAAACACTGTCTGAATAATATTGTTGCATACAAAATGTTCTATAATGTACTTAACTAATTATATTTGGCTTAGTTTATACATATTATAATAAAATAATAGAAATAAACCATAGAAAGGGTTTTTAGTATATTATGGCTGTTTTCACAAGTTTAGTTTGACATTTAAGTAAAATTTAACATATATTTTAATTATTTTTAAACTACACTTAATTTTTAAGCTATACTGGTAAAGTTAGGTTAGATTAGAATTACTTTTTAATTTGATTATAAAAATGTAATTTTTACAGATAACACCAATGAAAAGCCTTTAACTTTAGATGTTGGTAGTGATACCATTCTCACAAACGGTTAGTTTTTCAATTTTATTTTATTACAAATATTAATATCATTCATTTATAAACTGATGAATTGCAGGATATAACTCGGATGATGAAATTTACTTAAGTGCTCCTTCAAGCCCATGCAGTGAATCTTCGGATGATTATAATATGTTTTATAATGCTGAACAAGACTTTTCATATTTATTGTTTTCCAGGTAATTTTACAAAAGCTAATTCTCCTTGATTTTGATATAACTTTTATTATTAAAATAAGAATTGAAGTAAAAGTAATAAATATTAATATAATATAAGTAGTGATAGCAAGCCAATAATTGTATTTTTATTATTGAAGTCAAGTAAAAGAAAGAGGAAACAAGTCTTACTAAAAGAAATCCTACCATCAGTTAAGAGAATATCTACTTTACATTTTTTTATAAGGGTTTCATATTGGTGATTTTAGTCAAAACTAGAACTTATAGTAAAAATATTACTGTTTGTGTATTAATATATAGTTGAGTTTAAATCAGTTGCTAGAGTTTTAATAGTGCAACTTCAATATGTTCTCTTAAAAAATATCACAACTCACCTCTTAAAAATGCATATTTTAAAACGCCAAGTTTTTTTTAAGAAAATTGAAATAATTCTAGTAAAGAAGACAATTTTTTCTTCGTTATACAGTTTTTATATTTACATCAATAACTATAATATTCTCTGATCTATTTGGAGTGCCTGGAGCTTTTGAAACTTCTCAACTGTGACATCCTCTTTATTAGTTAAAAATAATAAACAATGTGTATTTATTTGTGCAGTGATAGTCCAACAAATGATGATCATCAAGTTTATGATGTGTTAAGAGGATTGAAACTAGATGTCAATAAATATCCATGGTTATATCGATGGTTGTACTCAATGGATGACTATCATAATAATTAATCTGTGATACTAATTAAACTAACAGTGTAATTTTTTATTAAAATTTTGAGTTATTTATTTTTGTTGATTCTGTGATTATATATGTATTATAAAATTTGTCAAATGTTTTCATTATTATCATTATTTTACAGTTATTTTTAAGTCGAGCATTTATGATTTCATCTTTTTTTGATTCTTCAATTTTAAATTTAGTTTTTATATTTGGTAAAAGTTTTTTAGTACAACAATGACGATAGCTCACGTGATATTTTATTGTTAAGCTTGGCATAGTATGAAATGGTTAAATATATGTAATTTATAAATTTAAATATGTGCTAATTATATAACATGGCATTATATTTTTATACCTTTGTTATTATTTTTTTAAACTGTCTATTGTATACTTTTTTTTCATTGTTTAAAAAGAGTAAATCATTTTATATAAACATTTTTTTATAAGATTTACTATAAAATAAATTCCTAATACAGGGTCCGGCAAAAAAACCTCCCTCATTTCGAAATGGCACTGTATGAGTTGTGGTGGTGGTACAACAGTGGAGGGGGTATCGATCAATAGCTGTATACATACCATTTTCTTCTGACCTAACCTAAACCAGTTTACTAGGAACCATCATAAGGGAGAAGTCTGGTTCCAACAAGACGGTGCCACAGGTTACACTTCGCGGCGCTCCCTAGCAATCTTGAGAGAGGTGTTTCCTGGACGTCTTCTCTCTTTGCGAGAAGACATCACCTAACCGCCAAGGTCACTTGATTTATCCCCTTGTGGTTTGAGGACTTAAGAAGGCAATCAAACAGGCAGTGGCTGCCATTACACCGGAAATGACACGAAGAGCAATGGCCATTCTCGAAAGTTAAAAGTGTAACCTGTGGCACCGTCTTTTTGGAACCAGACTTCTCCCTTATCATGGTTCCTAGCAAACTGGTTTAGGTAAGGTCAGAAGAAAATGGCATGTATACAGCTATTGATCGATACCCCCTCCACTGTTGTACCACCACCACAACTCATACAGTGCCATTTCGAAATGAGGGAGGTTTTTTTGCCGGACCCTGTACTTATTAAAAATATTGTTTAAATAAAAATTGTTGTTTGAAAAAAACTTATAATTAAGGCGATGGTTTTAATCAATAAATTTTATGACTTATTTGTAAGTTTTTTATTTAAGTTCTAAGAGAAACTTTTTTTAAAAAGATTGTTAAGAAATAATATTTAGTGTATTTTCCCTGTTATCATTTTCATAATCATGGTTCTTGGACCATGTATTATAATGTAGGTCAAATAATTAAGTACTAATAATAAAAATAATATGGTCATCTGTCAAACTATTGATCCTATACACTACCACTAATAAGTTAACATTTTATATGACTATTAAATGAAGTAAAAGTCTAGACGTTTAAAATATTGTATGGGAAATATCTTTATATATTCTAGTTAGGAGAATTCGACAACTATTTTATTATTATTGCAGTTGATATTATGTACTATTCTCTGATACTCGTACTATCTAATTAAATTATGTATATGAAAGTATTGCTATTATTGCTCATTACAATGACCCTTCATTATTACATTTATTAAATGTATAATGTGAAAAATATTATTTAACTTATATAAGAAAAAAAATATATTTACTGTTATATATTCATAAGCCACGCGGCTTTTTTTAGCCTATTATTATTCTCATCTGTCTTCAATTTCGCCACTCTACTAACATCTATAGGTTGTATTTAAGACAAATTAACATTATTTGTGTTAAGTATACCTACAGCGTTGAATTATTTATTATTCTTATGAATAATGAATCTATGTATATGTATGTTTATAAATGAATACACAATGAGGTACTTAAATAAAAAAAATATAAGATAATAAAAAGTGTAGGTACCTACCTATATTGAGTTAATACAATTTGTACGCATAACATAATAAGTAGATCATTTTTTTAATTATATACCAGCTTCCAACAATTATTGCAATGGTTAAATTTACAGTGTTAAAAACTCACTGCTTTCTATATATTATTATTATTATTATTTTTTCAAGTTAATTTTACTTGTAATATATTATCTAAAATGTATACACTCCTTAAAAAAAATATAATTGTTGGCAATTTAAATTTTCCAAGTGAAATCATAAACCACGCATAATTATCAAGATAAATAATAACTTAAATGGTAGATCTTACAGTAATAATAAATACTTATAGTCTATAGAGATTTGGCCCCTCTCTAAAATTGTTGCTTTACGTAGTTGTTGCTTTCATAGACAATTGAGCGTTGTAAATACAATAATACTACAAAGTACAATAATAATAATATATATAAATAATATAATATATATTATAGATATAATACTACTATTACTATTAGATAAATATAAATCATCATTTTTTAAATAAGGGAGGTACACTAAATTGCGGTCTTGTTGATGTTTTTACTGACAACACACTAGTATTATGTATAGCCTCTAGGGTAAGTACAAAAAAAGTAGGTATGTGCGTTAGTCATTCAACAGGCTTCGGGCTTTACTAACATTCAAACGACACACACTCAACATATATAAATGTTATATATTTTATTATTTATCTGAAGATAAGTAGTGTAATTGTTTGTATGATCAGATAAAATACCTAATAAAAATTATTTAAATACAAACACGCGAGTGACAGTAGTGATTAAATGAAACGCAACGCTTAACCAGTTAGACATCTCCGACTATGCAATTATCGCGGGATTCTAAAAAAAACAATAAAATTCCAATTTAATCGTTAAGAAGTATTGTTATACTGTACTTCACCGTTTACCAGGACCTATCTGATCTAAGGAATAGTAGTTGCGTTATTTCGGCATTAATTTGTGATTGCAACACTTTTCTTTATGACAACAAATAATTATATTTAAAAAAAAACTCAAGCCATAATTTTTTTTGGACCTGCCATGGAACTTAGCAACGACTCTACAATCGACCGAATCGCGAGTCCAGAACTGAAAAAAGGTATGATTACTTGTTTTTTCCTTAATCTATGTACATTTTGGTACGCTTTTTTTAGCCGCCAAGCGGATCCAAAAGGTTCCGTTAATGTAAATTATACATTTTGAATTATGTACATTAATATTGATAGTAAATACAACTTAGTATTAAGTAAATACTAAAAATTTAGTTAAATTAATCAAGATGATAAACAAACAAATGTACTATTTTGACGGTACATCGTTCGTGTTTCTGAATTATTTGAGGGGAAAATAATTGGAATAAAATATGTACAGTTAATTTATTTTATATAATTTTCTATAGTAATATATATTTTTATGAAAATATGTGTATTCTGCTCTACGTCCAAAGGTACAAAGTACAATCACCGTTAGGCGTTAGCATTAAAAGATTTTTTAACTTCGAAGTTCTTAATGTAGCCAAAATTTATCTAAAATGTATATTTTTTAGGTTATCTGTCACTTTTTAAAAATTAACTTATAATTTAATAATGTTTAAATTTTATTTATTTGATTTTTGTGCTATACCACCTATTGATATCATGCAGGTACCACAAGGCTGTGACCTCCTCATAGCACTTAGACTGTAGCCTAGGACACTTTAGCAATAAATACAAATTGAAGAGTTAAAACTTCAATTTTTTAATAAGTAAAGTAATTTTTGAAAAGTGATTAAAAAATGTACATACTAAAACAACCCTGACTTAGCCAAAAACTAACAAATAAAAAAACTTTTAAAAATATTAAATATATTTAAAATTTATAACTATCGAAAAGAAATGTATGAAAGCTAAATTTTTGCTTACAATTTACATAATATTTCCATTGAGTACTCAATGATATTAATATGGATGAATTCCCTTTTGCGTTCAGCTACAGAAACTGGCGTAGTTGTTGTTTGTGTGTTTAATTAGTTGTGTCTAGTACAAATATGCAGTATTGTAATTATGGTACGTACGTAATGTGTTGCATTATAATTATTTCAAAAAAGATGGGATCTTAGTTTTCCCAGAAACTGTTGGCCTACACTTAATTTATATGTATCGTTGTGTAGGCATGCCGATGATCGGTGTCCGTCACTTGCAGAGTCTGCTAGCATTTACGGCGATTTTCACCGGCTATCTGCTCAGAGTGAATATGTCGGTGGCTATAGTAGCCATGGTGCCAGTGGTCAACTCGACGGACTTCTATGAAGAACACAAAAACCATATCGCTACGTTCGATTGGACCCACAAGACCCGTAGCTATCTGTTGAGCTCGTTCTTCGCGGGTTACCTGCTGGGAAACTTTCCGGCGGCCATTCTCGGTTGCTACTTCAACAACAAGCTCCTGTTAGCGTTAAGCACCACTATCACTTCCCTGCTCGCATTGGCCACCCCGGTGGCGGTGAGCACTTATGGGTCACCCGTGCTGTTCATCATCCGATTCTTACAAGGACTCGCCCAAGCGTTTCTGTTGCCCATGTGCCACGGCATAATGGCCAGATGGGTGCCGCCCAACGAACGTGGCCGTTTGGTGGGCTTTGTCATGAGCGGTATACAGTTCGGTACCATGATAACGCTGATCGGTGCTGGCTATTTGGCTAGCACTTCGTTCGGTTGGCCTAGTATATTCTACGCGAGTGGTGCCATCGGGCTGGCGTGGACTGTCGTTTGGTTATTATTGGGCGCGGAGTCACCTCAAACCCATTGGTTCCTCAGTCAAAAAGAAGCTAACTACATACAAGAATCACTTCAAGGAGTTTCTCACCATGGTTCACAAGTAAATGATCAGTCGGTTTTGCATTTGTTGGTTCATTTTTATTTTATTGTAGTATTAATTTCTTTGTATTCTTTAAATTTTTTTTTAAAGGACGCTATAAACACAGTACACCCCTTTTTGTTCAGAATTTGGTATAGATAATTCATTTTTCATCAGATTATCACAGCATTTTAATAGCGTTTTTAAATATTTGTTTTACTTAAGCGGAACTTGTTTTGCGCGGCTCAAGGTGTACATTGTACAGACATTGGCCGATTATTGAAAAATTGAAAGGGGTTTCCAATATTTCATACACAAAAACCTACTTTTTAAATATTTTTTAAGTAGCTGCGATTTCGTTACTAAGTAATATTCTCAAAAATCGCTAATGACAATGTGATTACAATCAAAAATTGTATATTTTGATAATAAGCGTTTTAAATATCTAAAACTAATAAAAAGTTTGAAATGTATAGGTTTAGTGCCCTCTTAATAGCCTATGTTAACTTTTTTATAGAGTTAAGTTAAAAAAAAACATTTAGCAGTGGTATTTAAAGTACAAATCAAATGATCGATTTTATGACACCTGAGTTTTTTAAGCTCTGAACAACCATGGTATAATTTTAATTGATACTCGTGACTTATAATTATCTTTGAAGTTTGAAATCTTTTAAATTAAAACTTTTTAAAATAAACTTATAAATTAAATGGTGTTCAAAGGCTTTTGGATTAATTGTTTTTGTTTAAAAAATTAAATATAATTTAATTATCTATTTAAGCTAGTGTACAATTTTTTAAGCTTTTATTACATTTAAATTAAAAGTACAACAATCTTTTATTATATAATTTGTTTACTATACTACTTATGGTATAAAGACGAAAAATTAGATAATAAATCTAAAAAATGTATTAAAACGATAAACCGGTAATAAATTTGACAATTATTACTAGATATTATTAACAAAAAAAAAAAGCTTTGATGCGAATCTGAAAGAAAAGTACCTAAGACATGTTTAATAAATGAAATATTTGATAAAAAATATAATTATTTATTTTATATATTCTAATATCCCTACTTAATAGATACTAAAATAATTACTGCGTCATCTTAATCATTGACTTTTATGTTTTGACTATTGTCAGTTTTCATTTTAACAATAGGACTACAATATGTTTTTTTCTATATCTATTAGTATATACCTAAGTATTGTATTTTAAATTTACATTTAGAAAATATTAACAGTTAACGTTAGCCTTAGCGACAGTTCGTTATGTGAAATAATATTGTACGCTAAACATATTTATTTACATACGCAATACTTACAATAGAATAAAATTTATTGTCTTTATACTTATTTTGTCTTTAAACTATTTGTTTTTAAAACGCTTAACTGCCCGACACATCTTTATAACAGATAATAGTCGTTTTAAGGTACATAGTATCTATACATAAGTATTTAATAAGCTTGCCAAATATACCGACACTGTATATAATACGGTTATTTTTAAAATTTAACTAACTATTGTAAAGACCGGGAAAAAATTAAATGCAAATGATTGTTTTTAAAAATTCTAACGAATATTATAATTATTAGGAAAAACCGTAATATACGTAAAAAATATGTAATTACGAAAAAAATATTTTTGACGAATGCTCAAAAAAATGTTTACAACAATTTTCTAAAGAAATACATGCGTGTTTAAAAGTTATATAAAAAATACAATTAGCATTTAGGTATAAACAGATAATGGTATAGATTTAAACATGATAATACAGTTATATAATGTGATCACAATCTTTATCAGTTCACCATAACACTGAAAAAAAAGTGTCAGTCAAAATTTTTACCATAATTGACTTTACTAAATTTCAGTATTTTTGGTAAATATTTAGTTTAGTTTACAGTTGATTTAATACAGATAGGGCCAACTATAAAGTGTTTTGTTGTTACTGCTAGACAAATTTTTTGCTATGTCGACTAGATGTTTAACGTGGAATATTTCGAAACTTTAAGTTTAATTTTTGTAGATTAATATTTTTTAATTTAGAACCGACTTGTCAAATTAAGCCAAGACTAATATAATAACAATGTTTATCTTTACATGATACCATCAGGCCGATAAAGTCACTCCTTGGAAAGGGATATTCACTTCGTTGCCAGTTTGGGCGACCACGGCCGCACACGTGGGATACAACTGGGGCTTTTGGCTGCTGTTGAGCGAAATGCCCACGTTCATAAGCACCGTGCACGGGTTCAACCTAAGGGAAGACGGACTGCTGTCTTCGCTCCCTTACCTAGCCATGTTCCTGTTGCAATTGCCCGCCTCCTACTTAGCCGACTTTCTCAACAAGCGACAGTGTACCACACTGACCATGTCCAGAAAAATATGGACCACAATCTCGATGTGGGGAGGGGCAGCTGGCCTCATAACGCTCGGGTACCTCGACGACAACGCGACCTTCACGATTTACCTGTATATTTTCGTCGTGGCCATCGGGGGCACGTGCAACCTCGGGTTCAACATAAACCACATGGACCTGTCACCCAACTACGCCGGCCTGCTAATGGGCATCACCAACACGATGGCATCCACTGGGGGTCTCACAGCACCCTTAGCCGTCGGGTACATAATAAGCGATCCGGTGAGTTGTGAACCATTTCAATCACTTTTTTCTAGATCAACCCGTACGCAATTTTCGTCAAAATATCATACACATAGTATGCTTCCCCCTTTTTTTTTTTTTTAAATACAGACCAAGGAGCCTATTAAAAATTTACTCGTAAGTCTTAGACAGTTTTTTATCATTGGACTATAGGTAGGACTTTCAAAATCCGGGCTTAAAATAAACGATAAAAAGTATTTTTAGGCAATTATTAAAAAATGCAATAAGATAAATGAACACATGCCTAAAAAGAAATATTGTAGAACACAAAAATTGTTTAAAAAAAAAACACTAAAAAAAATCGAATAAGTGTTAAAAGTTTTTAAATTTTTGCCCTAATGATTTTGATAGTACCTATTAACATTTTTTCAGTCGAAATTTAAAATTTAGTATGGTAACTATCCGACTTTTGTATGGTTAAAATACAGTTTTTTTTGGTAAAAATTCGAATTTTGAGAAACCACTACTAAACTGTATTAGAGTATGAGAATTTTGAAAATAAAATGTATATAATCATCATTACATTTAATTTATTTTTAGAATTCCGTTAATCAATGGCGAGTTGTATTTTTTCTTGGAGCCGGAGTGCTTTTCTTTGCAAATTTGATATATTTGATATTTGGCTCGGCTAAAACACAATCTTGGAATTCTCCTGAAAAAAAAATCGTAAGTATTTACAATTGAAATTAACATTACAGCTCAAAAAATTACACAAATTTGACAATTTTAAAGATGCACATTTGGTATTAATTATGTTGATGTTGAATTGTCAATACTCAATACTTTAAAACGTAATTAACATTTAGTGTTAAATAGTTTAATATAAGATCATAAAAAAGGAAATAATCCTTAAAATGTACGATATGGCCGGTGTATAAGATTTAATAATTATAATAGTAATAAATATAAAAAAATAATGATCATAAATATTATTTTATAACGGAACATAATTAGTAACACACATCACACGTTTACAGTTGTTAAACAATAAAATATAATCCGAAACGCACAACAAGTTCTGTGTAAAAATGTATAAAGATCAAATTAATTCATAATATCATTTCAAATATAAATTAATAAACACTTTGAGAATAATTTATGACATATGCGATCAACGTGTCAACCTGGAATGTAAATAGCTCAATAAATTACTTTATTGCTGATTAGAAAATAAGAAAACTGGTTCGAATAACTAAAAAAGTATTATTTAATAAATATGTATTTACTCAAAAACAATAAAAACAAAATGCTTGTAATATACAATATATTATATTATACTAATATTTGTCATTCTTGACTAATTCATCTAATACCATTTCGTCTTATACGTCAATATTACAATGAATTGATAAAAGTGCAATCGTTACGACCAAAATAGTAGGACAAAACGTATAGGCTGTGTTAGGTACACAAAACGAAAAACTTATAATTTTTAAAATGACAATATTGGACTTCTACAGTGTACATTTTGCAGGACAAGGCAGACTTTTAAAAAAGTGTCCTGAAATTTCATTTTGAAAATAAATTAAGTTTTTTTTTACCAAAAGTCTCAAGCGATTCAAATGTTTTCATTCATAGTATTTTTGTTGTCATTGTGCTGACTAATGGTAGTGTTTTTTTATTTTTCAGGTAAGTTAATAAAATTAACGTGTTAAAACGGTCGGAGAATTTAGTCAAATGTATATTGTTATCGCCTATATTTTGTTTCCAATAAAATTGAATCGTTGATGTTTTTATTTATTTCTGGTGGATTTTTTTTTATCACCGCGTTTTACCTAATTATCCTTCAATTAAATTACAATTAAAACACGACGTATGTGCGCAATACGATCTCCTGTGGTTTTAAATGATAGACATTAACACAATTAAGTAATTACGAACTCAATATAGTTGTCACTTGTCATGCTGTGAAGTTTGTAATTTGATTTACACACACGCAGCATATAATGGTTTATCTTTATGACTGAATTATTAATTATACGTTCTATTGTAATTTATATTTAATAAAAAATACTTGACTTATGGTAACCGTAGTTGATTATACTCGTATCATAATTTTATTGTTATATTGCATTGTGTAGTATCGTGAGTCAACACTCTTTATCGAATCCTAATTTATAAAAATCATAATTATCAAAGAAAATTCGGGTGCTAGGCATAGGCTAACGGAGGTCAAATCCACTACAATGATAAACACAACGAGTGTTGAAGAATACCATTTTTGAACGATTAAAACCAACCTGTTTGTTCTAGTTTAGTATCGCAGCCAGGGCCATCGTCATGAGGTCATTTATGGGACCAAAAACAACAAAAAATATCGTCCCCTTAATCCCCGCTACCTCTTTTAAACTGACTCTTAAGTAAACGTGCTACCAAAAACAATTAAACAATAATACAATATACAATATCGAAGAAAATTACATTTTGAAAGACGATTACATATTTGGTCTTAGAGAACGTGATACCTCTGTTTATTAAGGAGTAAAGTATAGACAGTTTTTCGCAAAACATTAAATTAGAGATTGAACTATGGTGTATACTATTATTAATACCTTATTAATACAGTATTGAGGATTCTTTATTGATAGTCGTTTTTTTTGTCAGACTATCCAGTCATTTCTATAGGATATATTAAAAACAATTTCATATCAAAACTGCTTTGTGAGGGGATAAATTTACGAGGTCAATATTTACAGTAAAATCACTTAATTTTAACAACCTTACCTAACCTAACCTCACTAACTGTTAGTTAACAAATAGAAAAAAAACACAATCACTACGAATGAATAACTTGGATTGTGTTTAAGTTATTAAAATAATAAAAACGCTACGGTACAGGTAAAGTTCTTTTCTATGTACTGTAAACATTTTGTAATTCTATTACGCAAGTACAACCCAAAAAACCTTGTCTTCCGCACAGCGAGTTTTGAGGGTAAAATATAGATGATGTGACGTTCTCTTAATAATGAAGTCTTACCAAGAAGCAGGGTTTGATAACGTTTTTGTGCCAATATTGAATATGTAAAAAAGTTTGGCCAACAAACTCCGCCAATACTCGTTGTTACGTATCAGCAGTTTATATAAATATATGGTGGAGGTTGTCCACCATACGCGAGTGCTACACCGGCACAACCGCAGCATTCGTGTAATTTGGGTTTCATAATAAACATCGGCGAGTATTGTTATTTACATTAATATAATTGTGTTTTACTTTATACATAAGGTATAACACTCGTCAAAGTTTTTGGGTGAATATTATCAATAGAGGTACGTGATTACGTGTAAATAGGTACAACTAAATCACGTGAATTAAAAGTGAGGGTTAAGTAATAACTTTTGGAAAGTTAAAAAAATATTAATAAATAAACAAAAGTACGGGTTTTATATTATTTTTATTCGCATGATCACGGAACCGCATTCATACGAATAAAAAAAAAACCGCGGAACCGCATTAACGTGCGTAAACAATACCGCAACTTATTACCTTGGCGAAAACAAGGGCCATTTACAATACTGCATTACAAAGTTCCTGCCGTTATGGAAGTGGGGCAGCTTGCCTTCTGTATTAGTTGAATACTATTCATTAATAGTTAATTTTAGTAACAGACCACCGTTAACTGCGTTGAGGCCAGTCGAAATCGATAACCATATTCGGTATGAACGACGTAAACTGTATGTATTGTACCTACCTACATATTTATTATTTAATTTCCTCTAAAATTGTATTAGGTGATTGTTTTTTATTAAATAAAAATCGATGGATAAATTTGTATAAGCTGTTGTGGTTTAATTTTTGTACATGTCAAGTCTTACTTCAGTTTAAATTCTACCGAAAAATGGTAAAAATGATAAAATTAGATTATCTCCTAATGTGACACTACTTAAAAAAGTATGCAGTTGGATCCATGTTTATTTCTAGAGATGTATTCACTGAACAACGATATCATTTCTCACCAACATAATTTTTAGAACTTCGATTTATTTTAAGCAGGTGTACCGTTTTTGGGTTTCCGGCATTTGCAGAGTTTCCTGTTATTCCTATGTATCTTCACGGGTTATCTTTTACGCGTAAACCTGACTGTGGCTATAGTGGCTATGAGTCCATTAGTCAATTCCACAGACTACACGAGGTCCAAAACGTATCACATACCCATATTCGATTGGTCGTCCAAAACAAGAAGCACTTTGCTGGGATCGTTTTTTATGGGTTATCTGTTGGGCAATTTCCCAGCATCTGTTCTCGGCTGTTATTACAACAACAAGATGTTATTGGCAGGCAGTACAGCAGTGACTGCTGCGCTGGCCGCGGTCACGCCGATCACATTGCTGACGTTCGGCACACCGGCTATGGCAGCGGTCCGTTTCGCGCAAGGCCTATCGCAATCGTTCTTGTTCCCGATGTGCCACGGCATCATGGCCCGATGGTCACCACCTAACGAACGCGGACGTCTAGTGGGTTTTGTCATGAGCGGCATACAGTGCGGCACCATGGTCACGTTGGCTGGCTCAGGGCTGCTAGCCAGCAGTCCGGTCGGTTGGCCCAGCATATTTTATGTTACCGGCGCTGTCGGCCTGGTGTGGACCGTGCTCTGGCTCGTATTGGGCGCAGAATCACCGCAGTCTGGACACCAATTTCTTGGACAAGCCGAAGCGCATTACATAAACGACCAATTGAAGGACGTTGTGTCCAAACGAATACAAGTAATAATATTATTTATTACTTATTATAATATTTTTTAGCTACCAAACATAATTAATTATATACAGATATATGTATAAGGCTTGTGAAACTCCTATTTTAACGGCTTTCAATATAATTACTATTTATTAATCTTTTAATTATATAAGCTTAACACTTTTTATACAAAACACCCAATAGCGTTCAATTGTTTTAGCATTATTATATTATTACATTTACGTTCGTAAATTAAAATTTCACAATAACTTATTATCATCGTACATCGTGTACTCATACACAATACATTACCTCGATATCTAAAGTACTTATCAATAGGATTTGATGTTGTTTCTTTGTTTTTTTTAGAACGATAAGACACCGTGGCGTTGTATATTTACGTCGAAACCGGTCTGGGCCCTTGCTCTCGCCCATTCTGGTTACAACTGGGGATTTTGGCTACTGTTAACTCAAATGCCCACGTACCTCAACACCGTGTTGGGTTTGGATATAAAAAAAGACGGAATGCTATCTGCCCTGCCTTACCTAACAACTTTTTTGCTTCAGTTTCCAGTTTGTTATGTGGCCGACTTTCTAAACAGCCGAGAGTGCACCACTCTGACAACGTCCAGAAAAATGTGGAACACCGTGTCCATGTGGGGTGGCGCTGCGGGATTGGTCACACTCGGCTATTTGAACGATACAACCGAAATGGCCATAGTTTTTTATGTATTCGTCGTGGCCATAGGTTGCACCGGCAGTGTTGGTTTCAAAGTCAATCACATGGATCTGGCGTCCAACTACGCCGGGCTGTTGATGGGCATCTCCAACGCAATGGCGTCCATAGGCGGCTTAACAGCACCAACCTTGGTCGGATTCGTTGTACACGATTTGGTATGACATGCGGTATACACTATACTACAACATAATATTTTTGCAGTGTTATGGTACGCTATTAAGTGTAACATTGCTAGTTAGTAGTTACTACACTGCTTCACTGATACATATTGATAAATTTAAATTAATACTTAATGTTTATTCAGACATCAGTAGTCGAGTGGCGAATAGTTTTCTTCATTGGTGCTACGGTTATGTTTGTTTGTAATTTAGTATTCATTTTATATGGATCAGCTGTTACTCAACAATGGAATAATTGGGATAATATTAAAACGAGTAAGTAGGTCGCCAGACTGGAAATGGAAAATATAACAAAAAAAACTGATATCTTGTTAAGGACAGTTATCAACTACATCACTAATTCCTTACCTTAACTGGTTTACAAATAAAAATGGTACTCATTTTATTTGTTTGACTTAAGTGGCACTAAACAGCAGTGTTGGTAAAAACTATCCATAGTTAACCTTCGACTAAAGTATAAACCTATTAAGTACAAAATGTATATGTAATATTTCAGTTCATAAAATTTTGATTTATAATTTGAAATCGGTAAAATGTAATTTTACATACAAATTAACAGATACCCGCAGATTAAGTTTAAGAATTACTTAAAATAAATTCAAAGAGGTATTAAATTAATTAAACCTTGGTTAGTAAACTGTAAAGTTATGTCATATCACAAAAGCTATAACAGTTTTAGTAACAAATTTGTTTATGAATTGATGTATTATATAATAAATTTCGGTAAATTGTTATTAGAATATTAATGACCTTTATGAGCTCCAATTAAATTTTAAAGAAAATCTAAAACATATTTCGTTTAGTCCAAGATTGACATTTATTTGTTTCTTAGTTATTCTTAGTTAACTTTGCGACAAGTATCAAAATTGCATAACCAAATCGCCGTGCTTCTAATAAATAGTAAAAAAAACGTGTGTTGCTATATAATTCACCCAGCCATAGTTTAAATTTTTCAAAGTTCTAAGGATCAAACCAAATTTAACAATACATAAAAAATATCATTACTTAAACATTTTGTTAGAGTCGCTAAAGGTGCTGTAGCGACTTAATCTTATTTAACCTATCTACCTCAGATCAACCTACAATAACAAAGCTCTCTTAGCTTTTATTTAAACCCCGAAATAGCCTTAGACTTACTTCAATCACATCAAAAGTTACTGCAATCCTGGTGTGAGAATTGAGGAACTAAAAAAAACAAATCTAAGTCCATTCACTATACTTTCACACTTAGACAAAGAGAATGCCATATTAGAACTCTCAATAACTTAACCATGACCCATCCCTTTTGCACAACATGTGCGTTATCTAGGTATACTTAGATCACCTGCTGATACGAGCCTCATAATTACATCAAAATGGTTTAGTTCATATTTTAACATTTTTAAGTTGGTTAGTATATTATGTATTATTAAGTTATCTTAATTCAGATTTTATTTACATTACAGACATTGAACAAAAAAATAATGTTAAATTCTCTGCTGGCAGTGCTGAAAAAGATATTGAACTATCGTCTAAGTAATATTGACAAAAATAATTATGTTCATAAACTTTAAATTTTTAGGCTATATTTCAGTTTTATAATTTACACAATATGTAATATTGAAGTTACTTATAAAATATGTTATATTTTATAAGTAACTTCAATTGAGAATTTAAACTGGGTTCTGATGACTTAGATGTTTACTAAAATACAGTCAAACTATAATTAATTTTCCAGTAAAAATGCTTTTCTTTAAAATGTATTTTTTTTTTAAGTATGTTAATTTGTATTTAATTTTTTAATATATACAAATAAATGTATACTGTCCTAATAACAAAGGTGCAGTTATTAAAAAAAAAAAAAAAAATACGAGCAAGCTACAGAAAATCAGTATAACTTTTTCTTACTTGGTTTAATCAATTTTTACAATTTTTGTTTTGTATAATGTTCTCAAATATAAGGCAGGAGTTCCAAACTGTCCGGGCCATTTGTATAAAGAGGAAAATGTTCACATAATATAACACTTAATACAAAAAAGAACAACCATTGAATACCTAATAGATTAAAACGTATTTATTTTTAATTTGTATAGCATATATTTTTAATGTGCAAATTATGTATAGTTTCAAAATAGGTTGATAACTGTAGTTCTTGAAAATAAAAATAAGCCTTAATACATTTTATTATATTAAGGTTCATAATAGAAGATTTTACAAAACTATATTATTAAATTTAAAAACAACTTAAGATAAGACTTGGTTAATATATTGTATTGAAATACCGTTACACGTGCCACTGTATTAAGTATAGTTTGAATGAATTATTGAAGTCAAAACAGAGAAGTTAAATTGAAAATCATAAAAAAGATTGCAAAACATACATCACCGTTTTAATTTGTTTGGGATGCCGCATATTGAAAAATGTAAGAATCTGGTGGTTTATAGTTCTTGTTGGGTCTTTATTAACGGTGGTAGGTATGAAGATGGTATTAAAAGCGCTGGTAAGTTTATCAAATCGATAAACATCTTATACGAATCGCTGAAAAAAAAAGAAAACAATTGTTCATATCCTGCAATTTTTTTTCAGGGTTTTTAAAAAATAGTTTTATATATAAACATTTAACTAAAATATATTATCAGGGCCAAATAAACCGGCGATTAGAACTTTGTACTTAAGCTTCCTTGTAGTCTTGTACTACGCCAATTAAAAGGGCGTCGCACCGCCCATTTTTAAGGAGTAAAGTATAGGCAATTTTTTACAAAATCGTAATTTAAAGGTTAAACTGTGATGTGTAATTATTAGTTCAATAACTAGGACTCTATTTTGGTAGTTAATTTTTTTTTTGGACTATCACAGCATCCTTGAAAGCGATTTAAAAATGTTTTTTCATCTCTACATGTTTAAGCAGACTAAAAATAACTCGCTTAATTTTGGTTTTAGAGTAAAAGCGCCCATTATAAAATTTAAAAGAGAACAATATTCCGGAGGGCAAGATGGTGCGTTTTTTCATTATTCCAAGTATAACGCTCAATATATAGTTTAGAAATAACGACTATTTTAACATTTTTAAATGACTGTAACTTTTCAAAAAATGATTTTTTTTAAAAAAACGCACCGTTTTGGCCTCCGGAATATTGTTCACTTTTAATTTTATAATGAGCGCTTTTACTCTAAAACCAAAATTAAGCGAGTTATTTTCAGTTGGCGTAAACATGTTTTTACCCCTGAAAATCATTGGTGCGACGCAATCCTAAGCGTCTTGTAAACAGAATTGGATTTTTTTTTTTGGTAATACCCACCCATCAATCGCCAGTTTACAAAGACCCTAAAATAAGAGTATTTTACTATATAACCCTTGGCAAAGTTCAATAATACGTAATTACCTTAATGTCGATTTTAGGTATTCAGTTCCGCTAGTACCACCTGTACCTAAATTATGAGATCCGATCATTTTATGAACCATTACAAGATGGTGGTCTAAAAAAAATAATTTCAAACAATAATTTTACTGCTCTACAATATTTTAAGCACAAAAAATCAAATGAACACCACTTATACCGTTATACGTTTTAATATTATTATTAAGTTTTCTATTAGAGATAATTTTTATTGTTATTAATTTCCAATGTATACCTTACGCTCAAATAGGTACATACTTAATGTTTTCAAAAAATATAATTACATCTCCATTTAGATAGAATAGTGTCTAAGTCAACAAGTGATTCTAGTATTCGATTCGCTAACCCATAACCATTTTCTTGACGGTACGAGTATATTAGAATGGCGCCTTTTAATGCCTTGTGAGACAAAATTCTATGACCCTGTTCGACCAGTGCTTTGTGTTGATCGCTATCGAACACGGTACTCAAAATTTGGCGGCGTTTCTCCAAACGTGTAATGCCGATCTGCAAAACATAACATTTTACAATAACTACTATATCAGCTGTTTCAATATTTACCCTTCGGAGTATACAATATATTATTTATATCTATCGGTTTTTATTATTTTTTTCTAATAGTTTGTCAGTTTTGAAAACTGACTTATTCTGAGCTAGTACTTAAAAAACCAATCCTACATGTCGTACATAGTGAAGGTATACAGTGATTTTTGTATTAAAGTATTTAAAAACAAAATTTAGTTTTAGAAGTATATTTTTTCTTAATGTTAGAAAAGTTCTGAAACTAGAACTAGAACGTTTTGAAAATATTTAGTTCTACATCTAAAATTACGGACGTGTTACATCTTTAAAAGCGCGTGTGACGTAATACCTAATAAATAAATAAGAATAATACCTTTTTCGAGTCTTGTAACCAGCGGTCGGCTGCCTTTCGATAACGTTCCCAAACTGCATCGTCAAGCAAGTCAGGAGTGCATTCCAGCCAATGTCCAACCAACATGAATAAAGTCGGTTCGGCCGCCGTTCGTTCAAATTCTAGACGTTGTGTTTCGTCAAAACACTCGGGATATGATTGACTACAGCATACACGGGTTTCCTTCATGCAAATCGTATGCAGTAATGATTATTTATTTATATATATATAAATTATCGCCTATTATAATTTTATTTGGATTTACCGTCTTCAATCCCAATTTGTTTTCGATCAAACGAAACTGAAGGCTTTGAAATCCAGATGCTGGCGTTAAGAGATCACGAAATTCTGCAAAATCACAGGGATGCATTGACTCCAATACACTAAAATGCTCTAATAGTAGCTAAAAATAAAAATTAACAAATTAAGTTTATTAAAAATATGTTTTCTTGGGTGTTAAAGATAACCAAAGGTGAAACATTTACTACTAAGTTCAAAATGGTATGATATAGAACTTTGAAACATGAGGTACTTAAACATTCCATTAAATAACGTTTTATGACCGCCACTGATTAAAAATAGGATTTTAACCCGGAACCGATTAACCATCCGGATTATTATTATCCTAATTTTTGGATTTTTTTTTTTAGTCCAGGATAAATAATACAACTTGTTTGAAAACGTGGATATACTTTGGTTTAAACGTTTATTTTTAACATTAAGAGTTGTGTTATTTACTCAGGTAAACAAAAATTAAGCAAAAAATAGGATAATCCGGATTTTTGAAATATCGATATTTCTTATGCTAATAGCGATAGAGTTTAAAAATTGACTTTGTGACTTAACAATAAATCAATGTAAATATAAAAAAATTGTGTTGCTACGGAAGGTGTACTATAAAGATAAGAAGTGCATCTCATAATTCCTACAATTATACTTGGTCGGCACAAATGGTATTTGTGCAATAGGTTGGCATTGTGTCAATCAAACCTAAAACTAAAAATTGTTTAACAAATCTGTAACAACTGTGAATAAGTGTGTAAGTCGATTTCAGTGATTTTACAGGGGAGCAATTTTAAACTTTGACCAACTGCCATAAATCCATACTTAGCCAATAACTCACATCTCTCTTAAAGTTTTCTCGTTGATCCAATGAGTTAGACATATTTTATTCAAGGTGTGCTAGACGCTTCGGACTACATCCTAGCGTACTTAGTTAATTTTGACAAAGAATCGACTTACACACTTATTCACAGTTGTTACAGAAATATCCGATTAACAAAATAATTAATTTTAATACAACTTTAAACTTTCATTAAAGAACTTAGTTTAAACTTCAGAATAACAAGTTTATTGTACACTAATAAAAATGTAAGGTTAAATTGTTTGCTAATTACCTTGAATATTGTTGTAATTCTACCAATACGTTTAAATACATTAAACATTTCTGGCTCTTTTACCTAAAATATTTAATAGAATTAATAATTTAAATTAAAATTAAAATATATAGACATTTGTATTTTGATATATTTTATAAGTACAAAATAATTAATAATATTGTAAAGATTAATGTCATTGCAAAACACTACTATTCTAACTATTTTGATCATTTTTTAATAAAAAAATGTATAATAAATACACCATTGTAAAGTAATAAAATAATGATATATTTAAATGAACTCTTAATCACAAAAAATAATACGTATATCCTATAGAGTATTATTTTTGTGGTTAAAAGTTCATTAAAATATTTTATTTATATTATGCTCTCAGTTTGTTCTTTATTACACCACTAGAAAACATTTATAAGTATAAGTTATGAATACGTACCCAAAGATTGATTGTAAACGATTTTCTAATTAAATCAATCTCAAACAAAATCTGTTTGAACCAAAGCTCAAACGCTGAAATACACACAAAACAATAATATTATATACCTATTTAAAATTTAAACCATAGTTTTGAAAATGAGTAAGAGGTTCAATACTGTAAAGCGTATGTTTGTATAGTTTATGTAATACATTTAAATATTAGTTATTTACATAGTTTCAACTTATTGATTGCCTGCTTTATTAATTTTAAAATTACCTTGATGAGTAATAATAAAAAGATGCTCATCGTAAGTGACGATATTCCGCTGTGGACTTAACATTATTTGTGACGATAAAAGCCTATCGAGCTTTAAGTATTCGGTGTAGCTCCGAGCTTCGTTGATTTTGCATTTTCTGTTGAATAATTTTGTATTTACACCAATGATTTAATATATATTTGATTTATAAAGAAGGAACGCCAAAATAATTGTAGTCCCTAGTTTTAAAAACAAGTTATTCTCCCTTGTATTGAAAATATTGGGACTCACTTGTTTTGGCGGTCAATAATAATTCTTTCATTTCCGTTAACATAACTCATTTTCTAATATTAGTTAAGTATTTATTTTTCTAAGTAATAGTATTAGTAATGATGGTTTACAAAGATACAAAAAAATGTAACTGTCACTGCAGTGTCTATTTGTACGTTTAATTGATTAATAACTAAGGTCCTTCGCCCTTTTTTATAGTAGTCACTGCTGCTAACGACGAAAACATACTGGTAAAACAAATAGTTATAGTAAAGTAATACAATATCCTTTTCAGTGCAAACGCCACACTTATAGGTCACGTATGTAAGTCTGGAGGATTGAGTTATCCTACCACCGTAAATATGTTATGTAATAGTTAATAGGGTCATAAACTATATATATATATATATACAAAATAATCATATAAAAACTGTTCGGCATATTATTTTATTTTATTTATAAAATAAATGTTTAGATATAGTTAATAAAAATACTTCTCAACTTCGCATTGAAGATAAAAAAACAATCTATTAACTAAACTACAACGATATTTTTTAATGGTAAACTTGGGTGATTTCCATAGAATTTGTTTTTTACACATACTTATATTTTGTCTACAATCAGTGTCTACAGATTACTAATTTAATAATATAAATGATTATAAAAATAAAATAGTTTAATACAAACCAAACTGTGTAAGAGTATTATCAATCATGCTGGATCGAGAAATTACATGATCAATGTAATGTTCGTGTTTAATTTTTTTAAGAAAAGATTTGATAGTTGTGCAATTAAATGAACGGGAATAAGCTTTTTTCTAAGCCTTCAATAGACTTATTGCTATTATTTTGCAATTCTAGCGTTTAAAAAGCATAGGTAGGTTTTCGCTTACCTAATATGTAAACTATTAAGAGAGACCATTTAATATCTTAGTAATTTTTATTTTTTTGTTGACTTTTAGTTCTCAATAATGTATTTAGTTATGAAGCATAACTATGCTATAGAGTATCAATACTCAATATATTTATTTTATAAATACCTAAAAGACGAAGATCAATGGCTACAATGAAAGGATTGAAATTCTATTCCTTATAAGCTACTAGAAATACTAAACGGACTCATTTTACTCTCTCCCCTTATCATAATATCCTAATGAAATTATGGCTTCTGTATTATTGTATACGTATATACTACAAATCAATAAACCTGGTATAATAACATTTCGTAAGAATATATTACATAAAGGAAATTGTTTATTTTTTTCCAATATACCTACCAAGAATAAGTACCTGATAACTCAGACGCCAAATTCAAAAAGATAACTACATTTATAAAAACAAAGTTTTGTAATTTTATCGATTTAGTGTAATATAAAATCACAATATTAAAATAAGTCGTTTTCTATTCCAAAATGAACATTTTTTTTTTGTATAATCCATTTTTTTATGTACTAGTATCTAAATTTTTACGTAACTAATTTTTTACTTCCAGTTTACTAAAAATTGGATGATTCGATCGCGCTGGTAATAAGATAGGTAAATCACTAATAAAAAAATTAACTATTTTTGTGGGGCTGTGACTTATATTACGAACATTTTCAAATTTAAATCTTACCTAAAAGCAGTATTGTTGTATTATGTATTCTAGATATATTTATCTTTACATGTGTAGGTACATCTTATATATTAAATTGAATACTTATTATTTTCCTTTTTATTTTTGAACTATATTAAATAATACGATTTAACTATGATGGACAAAAATGTCTAAATCAGGCCCTGCACAAAAATACTATAAATCGAAAATGGTAATAGTTTACATATAGTTAACACGTAAAAGGGCGATACACGTGGCTGTATGTAATATTTTTGCATAACAAGGGTTAGCATTTTAGTAAAACACCAATTTTTATACTACGCCCTCTCTAAGATTTTTTAATTTTATGATTTTATTTTTTTTGGAACAAATTCACTTTAACAGATATTTTTTTTTTGCCATATTAAGGTTGCCACACACTGGATCGGGTCGGATAGGATCAGAACCGAACTTTTTATATTTTGGTTAAAAAGGTACATAAAGTAAACGTGCTAGGGTACAACTTTGAGTCTTTATCATGATGTACCTACTCATATATAACTATAGTATTATTACATAGTATCATTAGTAATGATACATTATTAATCATATATAATACACTTTTTAATATAATTTAATTTTACATACTTAATACATTATTACAATTTGTTATTTATCACTTAAATCCAGATTTTTATGAAAATGCATATTTTTTTTAGCATAATCAAAATTATACCCAAGAACCATATAAATTCGGTAACGAAGTCTAGATTTCAAATCAGCTAACTTATTTTGCATGTTTGGATTTTTTGAAAATGTATTTGCATATATGTTATATATCATTGAATCGTAGCATATTTGTAAATTTATATTGGTCCATACATTATACAATATTTAAGTATAAAATTGTGTAGGTCTCATCGTATGTGTAAAGAAACAACACACACAAACATAAAATAATATATATTTACAGTTAATGGGGCAGGGGCTGCTGAGGCCAAGTCTAAATAAACAAACAAAATCAATTTTGTTATTATAATAAGTTCTAACAATTTGCGAGACTTTTCGAAACTCATACGAAAGTATTGGAAACAATTTTTATCGTCATTTTTTAAATGAGCAAATAACGTATGAAATTCTCCTTCATTTTCCTGTGCCATATTTATACTATGAACCCATTGTCTTTTCTCCTTAGAATTTTCTTTTTCTTCTTCGACATCTGCTAAGAGAGCTAGTGGCATTATCATGTCTTCTTTATCACTACTTGTATCACCCATTATATAATATTTATAAATAAAAAATGCGCTTTAACAATAGTTAAACTTATACGACCATCAGCTACAGATAACAAGGGTAAAATGCGGCCAGTGCTCGGTGTACGACCGGGAATTTTTGCGAAGTGTGACAAAATTCGTTTTCGTTCTGACGTTAGAAATTCGATTCCGATCCGATCTAACCTAGTGTGCGGCAACCTTTAAGTTAGTAAATCTTGAACTATAAAAACAAATCCCTACGCCTGCCGGCTTCGGGAGTAGACTCGAGCACCTTCAGGAATCTTCGTTGGATAGGGACTCACGCTCTCAAACCCCCAGAGAAAAAAATAGTTTGTCTAAAGGACTAAACTAACCTAACACTCTGGAAGCGTCAACAACCAAACGAGTACGAACCTAACCTATCCTCTGGTCGCTAACAAATGTATGGTGCGGGGGCCACGTTTATAGGTACGCGGAAATATGCAAATTTTAAGTAGTTACAACTTTTGAACTAGAGGTAAGAGGAGTCCGCCTAATCCTTCAGATTCATAATCATCGTAAAAAACACTATACCTAATATTGATGGTCTAGCGCAAAGATGTTTTAAGTGACAATTAGCAAATTGTTCAGTAGAAACATTTGTATTATATAAATAATATACTAAAATAGTAAGTACTAAGTGAAATAAATACTAAAATATTGGTATAAATGCACTTTACAATATTTATTATTGCATAACGCATACAGTATATCAACTAATTACAATTATTATAGTTAATTTATAATTTAGAGACTAAAAAAATAACATTTGTCTGTTTTTCTGTGATATCTCATATCACAAAAGAAATGGGCTTTAGATGATAAGAACAGGTTAGCAAACATTTTTGTTGAGTGTCCGCCCGCCACCGCGCTGCCTATATTTTCAGGAGTATAATTATTTCAAGCCTAGCATATTAAAGAATTGTTTGACGCAAAAATATTAAAATTTAAAACTGTTTTATTTTAGCCTTTTAAGTTTTAACCATTTAAGACTTAATTTGATGTACGTATATAATATATATAATATTATATTCATGATAAAGTGATATCTAAACAATCAATCTTATCATTTAAGCGTTATCGGGTTTTAATCATAGTGACATGACTATTGAACATCAAAAATAAAAACAATACCATATTTATACCTATTATTATTTATACGTATAACATAGATATTGAAGTTTTTCAGGTTTTTCTTATCTTTTAAAAGTTAGTAATTACTTATTTATGTTGGACGAATTTTGACACTAAACTCTTGCGAATTATCAATTCTTATTTCAATTTACTTAAGCTGGTGAGTCATTATTACTCATACTAGGAAAACAATTTGTATTCTTTAGGTGATTCTAAAAATAAGATGTATATAACATGTCAAGAGTATTTTCTATGTTATAAGCTCGCATGCTTTTATTAAAATAAATTATCCTTAGTAATTTTACATTATTCATTTTCACAGGAATAGGTAATTTTTTATTAAAATGCCATTAGAATGGTTATTTGGGCGTCGGATGTCCCCCGATGAGATGTTAAGAAAGAACCAACGTGCACTTAACAAAGCAATGCGAGATTTAGATCGTGAAAACTCGAGAATGGCACAACAAGAAAAAAAAATTATAATGGATATTAAAAAAATGGCCAAAGATGGGCAAATGGTATGTAATTAAGTGTATTTATTAAGTATTATTTATTTATTTTTATCTCATAATTTTCCTTTTATTAACCTTAGTATACCTTTTATTACCTTAGTATACATTATAATATTTTGCCATACAATTGAGTATTCAAATTCCTGCATGAAAAAATTAAGTATACGTTTTACAAAATGTCTATTTTCTACATACAATTTTATTTTTGACTTCAATAAGAACTAAATTGTATTTATTATACAAATTGATAATACGGTTAATGTCAAGATAAGTAAAAATGCAGATAACTAAATTTCTTACAATTTGAATTAAATAATATAATATTAATACTTAGCTTGTTCCAGTTTTATACATTTTAATATTTAATGCTCTACTTTAAGATATAGTTTTATCCTGCATATAGATAATGAAGATTGCTTGCAATAAAAGATATGTAAATGTTCTAAAGATTGTTTATAGTTGTCGTCCGTGATATAGATTATAAAAAGTAACACAGAATAATTGTATAGTATAATTACAAAAATAGATTTGCACATTTTGTAAATTTAGTAATGCCATTAATCTGAAACCAAAAACCATAGAGAAAAGTGTCTATAAAGTGTCTATACATTATTAAGTATATATAAAATTATTTTATAAACCAAATTATATTTACTTTGTAATTTGACTGAGGCAAATGTATTATGACTTGCTCTTATATTTGGTTAATTAGTTGGTTGGATTTTATAAGTTCTGTTAATAAACATATATGATTCTTAAAATGTAAACATTACAACAAGGAGGGGAAAGGGCTTAATGATGTTTGATCAATAATCTCTTTAACATGGCAACCAAGTTAGTAAGTGGAAGTAATATAGATTATTCAATTTGGAAATCTTTATGATTAGGTTATTCAATTCAGCTGTTTATAAACCAAATATATTACAAATTAGTTCCTGCCCTATAACATTTAACAGTGAACTTTATTTTAATAGTTAATAGTTTTTGTTGTTATCGTAATTATGAAATCATTCAGTTCTAAACCGAAACGCGTTGTTCCACCATTCAGTTCTCAATCACGACAACCAAATACTATCGTAGTCGGACTTCCGCGTTCACGCTTTTATCAGACTCCAATTGGAAATACAACTTTTCGTCGTTACTACGACCGAGGTGATTTTATGTTATCCGTAGACAGTGGTCGTATTATGTGGAAAACTTCTTTTGACAATATTGATTATCATCACTACTTGCCAATTTTCTTTGATGGTTTAAGAGAAGTAGCTTATCCATATCGTGCTGTAGCCGAACGTGGAGCTACAGATTTACTAAAAAATGGTACTTCAGACCGTATATTGCCCGTGGTGCCACAATTGATTATTCCTATTAAATTGGCACTTAACACAGGGCATCTAGATGTAGTAATTACTACTTTAAAAATGATTCAGACATTGGTGACGTCCGCTGATATGGTTGGAGAAGCTTTAGTCCCTTATTATAGACAAATATTACCACTTCTTAATGTTTATAAAAATCTATATAAAAATACTGGTGATGGAATAGATTATGCCCAGTATCAACAAGAAGATGTTGGGGATTTAGTTAATAATACATTAGAAATCCTCGAACAACATGGTGGAACACATGCTTTTATTAATATAAAATACATGATACCTACTTATGAAACTAGTATTGTTAATTAAATTAAATGTATTATAAATAATATATTGCTTATTGTACACAGAATAAATGATTTTGAATATCATATACGTTTATTATTAATAATTTTTCTTCCTTTATAACACCTTATTAGATATGTAAGTATTAGGTATTTGTTGAATAGAATAGATGAATATTTTGAGAATTTAGGAATCTGTAAAAATCATGGCCAGAGATTTGGTGAGGACAAGACGGTACCAGAAAAAATTCATGGTAATGAAGGCTAACATACAAGCAGTATCATTAAAAATTCAAACTCTTAAATCACAAAATGCTATGGGTCAAGCTATGAAAGGTGTGACAAAAGCAATGCAAAACATGAATAGGTAAACTACATAATTTTTTATTAGTATTATTTTGTCAAAATTCCTATACTTCACCGACAGTATTTTATTGTTTTTCATTTTTAGACAACTTAATCTACCTCAAATTCAAAGAATACTACAAGAGTTTGAAAAACAATCAGAAGTAATGGACATGAAAGAAGAAGTAATGAATGATGCAATGGATGATGCTATGGAAGATGAAGGAGATGAAGACGAAACGTAATATCTTTAAAATGATTATTACCCTTTTAATTAATTTTATATTTGTTACTTATTTTTATTTTAGAGATCAAATTGTATCTCAAGTATTGGATGAGTTAGGTCTCCAACTTACAGATCAGCTTTCTGGATTACCAACAGCATCTGGTTCAATTAGTGTAGCAGCGACGGGTAAAGTACCAGTAGTAGCTCAGGATGGTGGTGGTGCAACACCACAACCAAACGATGCTGATGCTGACTTACAGGCAAGGTTGGATAATTTAAGGCGCAAGTAATAAAAATAGTTCGCACTGGAATATAAAAAATAAATACCTATTTTATAACTATTAATTGTACTTTAAAAAATGATAAATTGAATATATATATTTTTTTATTATTTTTTTTTTATTCATAATATTAATATAATAGAGAATATTTAGTTTAATTAGGTTTTTTAATATTAATTTTAATTATTTAAATGTGATTTAGAACCGTTTAATAAATAGTTAACGTATGCCTAAGCAAGTGAATGAAATCTTTATATTTAGTTTATTAATACATTTTATATTTACATTTCCGCTGTATATTATTTCTATCAAGGCTATATTGGGGAAAGGGTTTGGAAGTTCAACCTCCCCAAACATTTTTTTAAGACAAAGAAAATGTATAATTAAAATTACTTATTATTTTAAGAGCTAAATCACAGGATTGTAATTATTTCATTAATAATATTTTACTTTATACATGTATTATCATGGAACTATTAATAGCTTTCAGTAGATCCTCTTAGTCAGTGACTATGATTTAAATTACAAGGTAAACTATAAAACTATAAATTGAAATAATTTATTTTGTTGATTGATTATTATAAGTAATGAAAATATTTGGTAACCCTAATAGCATATTAATAATAAACTTCTTATAAAATAAAAATAAACCTCCTTCTGTCCCCAAAAATTGGGTCCAGTTCCGCAATTAAAATTATTATTATTCATTAGTAATAATTTTGTCATTTTTACAAAAAGGTAAAATAACAATGATGTCTGTTAAAAAATAAAACATGTTTTTATAATTATAATATATACCTACAACTAGACAACGGTACAAAAAACATAGGTAAACCCGTTTTTAAATAACTGAGGTATTTTATGATTTTTACAATAATGATTAATATTCATTATGAAAAAAATTAATAATAACATAAAGTAAGAAAGTATAAGTATATGTAACAAAATCTTTAAACAAATTGAATTGGTAATGTAAAAAAGAAATAAAACTGCGGACCACAACAATTCAAAACAATTATTATTTAGATTAATTTTAGTACGCGTATTTGAAATTCGGATTGTCCGTGTGCCATCCAGTAGCCTTGGGCCCAAATTTGTAGACGAGCCTTTTACCTTGCACAGGCAACAAAACACCAGTCTTATAATAGTATCGCATCGCTCTGCTAAACTTCTCGTAGTTCATTCGTTCGTTGCGCTTGAATTTGCCCCACAGTTTAGCAACTTTGTCGCTCTGGACGAACCTAAACCTACCCTCTTCGTAGTTTTCCCAACATATATACGTAGGACAATATTGAGCGTCTAGCAGAAGGTCTCTGATGAACTCCCATATTCTGCTCAGTTTGGGTTCCGACTTGGACCGTTTCGATTTCGTTCCTCTCGGTCGACCCACCCGTTTTTTCTCGTCTGACGACACGTTGACTTTGCAAAATTCTTCATCTATATCTATACAAGCACAATGAAAAAATTATATTATTATTATTTAATAGTATTACCATGACGGTTACGGTGATGATCACGGTAATCTGTCATGTGGACTTTACTAGTATATTTACCGTATTAAGAAAAAACTTAACGTTAAGTCATGAGTGTCTCACATTATGTCATTCTCGAGGTACCACATGACATGACTGACAAAATAGTACACAGAGAAAGTTATTTGAAAAAGCTTTTGGTACACCAACATATTCATGTGAGAGATACCCGTTTGTGTCATGGTATATAAAATGAGTTTTTTGAAAAATAGACCTAATACCCAACGTGTTAAAGAAAAACAACCACCCAATTAAGTAATAACATTTGTACGTCTATAATTACCTAAAATGGTAGGGAGTAAGTTGTAGTTGCAGTCATCGGTCGGTTGATAGTAACCGCAGTCCATGGAAGGGTTATACACTGGTACGCGCTGAGCTGGTTCATTTGGCGCGTATGCCGTCGTAATAGGCGTGTGCCACGTACTCGGTTGTTGTTGATGATGCTGATGTTGGTGTTGGTCATGGGGGTTGTTGTGGTGGTGTTGGTGGTGCAGATTACTATCACTGCTAAAATTGTTCGTCTGATAATTATAGTAATTATGAACGTATTCCTCGTGGCTGTTATTGCTATGCGATTTACAGTCTTCTTTTAAATTCATCAGAACTGTCGCCAGATCCCTTTCGTTTTCGCTGTAGCTCGAATAACCATTGTCCACGTCCCACTGTAAAAGTTTATTTATACAATTATGCAACTTGAATTCAATAATAGTTATCTCTTTGTTGAGGTAGGACGTACTAGTAGCCAGTAGGTAGTTCATTAGGATTAGGACCGTGGTAAAAATTCAAAAAAGGTTGCGCCGAAAGAGTTTCAAAGTAAATATACAAAATGATTTTTACCTATTTTTTTAAATTAATTTTTTTTTTTATTAGCCTTTATTGGGAAATATGATGGCTCGACAATTAATTTTTACCTATAAAACGGTTTATTTATTATTTGCAACATAGCAAGTAATTACTTAAATTACGTTTGGACCGTTTGCTCAAGAAGTAAATAAGATATTAGAAAGGTAAAGATCTGTAAGAACCTAAAACATAATTTTAGCACGCCTAGCTTTGTTCAATTATTCTTGGCCGTTTCCAATCCTAACCAGACATTTTTTTTCTTTCTAAATCGGGTTTGATCTGAATTTTCAGAAAAATAGCCCGGTTTGATCTAGTCTTTCAGATTCCTGACACGGTTCAGACATTAGTTCGCTTAGTTATTAAAAAAAAAAAAAATTTATAAATACATATAATACATAATAGAGTGTCCCTTATTTTGAAATGTTATGCTCTTAATATTTCAAACTTTCTAGTTGATGAACAATTCAAAGATTAATTAGATGGCCATTTTGCGCATGCACAGAGTCAAAATCTTCATTTACCCCTAAATTTCCGGAGTTTTTCATATAACTTCAGTTTACGGCATATATAGACAGGATTATCATTTTCACGTAGGAGCAATAATTAATTCCTACGAATGAAATTCGGTGACATCAATATTAATACAATTCTTTGATGCTTGGTACAAACGACTTAAGTAAAAAATTATCATTTTTGACTTAATACATTGAAAAATTCAGAAAAAAATCTAATTTTTTTTGGTACAATAATGTTAAGTCGTATTGATAACGGTTACCTCCTAAAATCCAACTGTTTCTGACTTATGTCGTTTGTACCAAGCATCAAAGATTTATTACGAAACTTCTCAAAATGTAGCCCAACACATAGTGTATTTTATGATTAACACTCTTTAAAACCAGTTCCAATACGTGATGGTGACAACCACATGACGTCTCTTCCGAACATTTGCTCTATCAAAACTGCAGCACTCTTGGGCCTTGACTGAACCTGTATTCGATGGCATTGTGTCAAAGCTCTAAGCTTTGACGCTATCGATCAGGTCTAATCGTCGACTGCTTCAAAATATCATTTATTTGAGAAAGCCTGTTAAATTTTCAAGCTCTGTTACCATCAGAAGCTTCTCGGTATCACCATTAGTATTTAGTTGCCAAACTAATAACTTTTTTTTAACTAGTTATTATTTTAGTGTTTTTATCATAAACCCTCTAATAATACGCATATGCACTGCTAACTTTCCCGACAACCCCACACGCAGACTCAAACATAACTGGAATCATAACCTAGTAACATAAAACCGTTTAGCAAAAATTAAAACTTGACCACTGAGTAGTTACCAATTGGTGGCTTCCTCGCGTGTTAATTATTCAAATTATGTACATATCCTCGACAAAAAAAAACTCATTATAAATATTGTACAGATTATTTTGTTAATATAGATAATAAAGTATTTTTATCATAGCAAAAGTAGTATATTGCTACATTACATCCGTAGGAATCATTATTTCGCTTGCGTGAAAATGATAATCCTTCATTCTATTTAATATGCCGTAAACAAAAATTATATAAAAAAAATTGGTCATGTGACTCTGCGCATGCACAAAATGGCCGACGAATAATTCTTTGAATTTGTCGTTAAAAGTACGTGTCATACGCAAGCGACACGTTGGTTTCATATTTTTAAGATTTTTTTTTCATCTTCCGAAAATATTGAAAAAAAGTCAATAATCCCATATTATTTAAATGGAAAACTTCACTATTATACAGACATGGTGAACTGAAGTAGTAAAACTATAGGGCTTTTTTTTTTAACTAACTACCTAGGAAAGTTTGGAACCGTTGAAGCATAACATTCCAAAATATATACGAATAGATACGCGCTGTTGCAGTATCAGCGACGATATATATCTGTATATTTTATTTTAATGTTACACCAAATTGTATATAATTTTTTCATGAAAAATCATTTTTATAAAAATGTGCACAACCAGTTGTTGTGTCGACTCTTGACCCTTCTATTGGTATATATAAAATTTCTCTTGGAGTATTGTCTATATTTTGCTCCATAGTTATAAGTATAATTTTCGATACGTCAATATTTAAGAAAAAAGTTTTTTTAGTAAATTTCATCAATGCCAATTTATTTTCAAATTAATTTGTATCAGCTTCAGGGTAGTATTTTTATCATACACAATGTTTTCTATGAGTAAAAGCTATTTTGGCGGTAAAAAATGTTTTCGCTGTGACAAAATTGTGAAACTTTAGTAATTGGCTGGTCCAATTTCAATTCTGTAAAAAAATAAGAATTTGTGACCTCTTAAGAAAATTAAGTTAAAAAATGATTCTCATAAAAAAAAAATACATTTTTAAATAAATTAAATTAGAAACGTTTAATGTTAAAACACAGTCAAAAATACAAAAAACTTTTTCACGCATAACATGGTAAAGTAGCCAAAGAACCTTATACCTTTACACAATTGAAATCAGACCATCCTAAGTAATCAATATTTTTCAGGCTTTTCGATCTAAAAACAGACTGCATTCAATCACCATAATCTCAAAAAATGATAACAAAAATTCGTACTATTCAACATGTATTTAGACATACATTCCTATGTAACGAAGAATTAGGTGTAATACTTATTTTCTTAGTCATTTTTGGCAACCAGATGGCTATAGTTTTCTTGTCATATATAATAAAATACCTAAAAATTATACAACAATTAAAAAAAATAAACCAAAAATTAAGTTAACATAATTGAATTTCAAACATTGTACATATTATACAACTTAGTAATTTTCTTATAATTTTTAGCTAATACCTATCCACATAATTATAAGATGTCGTCGATGATATTTAAAACTACTATACTAATCTGTCTTCCGAAATATCTATCCACGGTTATTTTATATATTTTTTAAAATATTTATCTTATTACCTGGGGTGATATACTGTAGTAATCTTCTCCTGTTACACAAAATTCATTGGTTTGGTAAGCGTTTGAATTATTCAACTCCCACATCCTGAAAAATTACATAACTAATATAATATAAAACATTACCATTATAATTTAGATACCGTTATGGGATGTCTACATAATAATAATAATAAATACGGGCAGCTTTCGACTACTCGAGACTTAACAATTAAATTGTTTAAAAAATTAAATAACGATTAATTGCAAAAATCATGTTCATATAAATTTACACAAAATTTCGATATTGTTTGTCAATCGCCTTTAGTAATACCACTTGTCATCAGTCAAAAGTATTCTGTTGTTGCTGCCCGTTTCCAAGGTTTAAGTTCAAGAGTTCGTTTATTCAACACCTGTACTTTTCTTTATCACGTACATTCGTTTAGCGATTCGTTCGCACAGTGTAAATTCCTTTCTAAAGTACCAGTGTCTTGCAATTCATTCGTACCTTGTATCTATCCTTTTTTCATTCAACCTCTATTTAACTTACTGTAAGAATAGTTCTTCAACATCCGCGAAAAATCTGGATAGCTAGCCGTTACATCGTTGGCAACTCAACCAAGAGATTTAACACTATCCAGTGCGTGTAGCTTCTCTCTCTTTTATTTTGTCTTACGTCAATACAATGAAAAATGAGTATAGACAATTTCTCATATTTAGCATCAGATTTATTTTTATTACCCAAAGTAGTTGAAAGTTTTGTTTTTTTTAATTAAATGTATATCAATTAATCTAATTCAGGAGTTTGCGAGACGCGGATTCTCGAAATATCAGGTCAGGTTAGGAAAAATCGCCCGGGTTTAATTAAGCTTGAAAATTCAAGTAACTCAGAAATAATCCGACACAATCATGTTCAATATTTTTACACGGATAAGGCTCAAAGTAGGACTGTTCCCAATGGACCTGATTTGAAAAGAATGTTGGGCTTTGTGGGACTTAGTAAAAAAATAGTCCTATACATTTAGCTCACAAAATGTATAAAACAAAAATATAAGTCTAATTCGTATTATAACTTAAGATCATACTTGTCAATAACGTCAATATCATGGACGTTATGTTGTTTTTAGTTTGTCCTATGAACTGTAAATAATTCTAAACGGTTGTAAACGTCTCTAACTTTATTACATGGATCTTTTTAAATACATTTATATTCACTAACAATAAATATGCTATTGTCTACTGATTCAGTGTTTGTATAATACAACCCAAAGGGAGGGGAGGGGGTTCCAAGGGTCTGAGCTTCTTTACTATATTTTGAAAAATGGTCGTAAAAAAATTAAAAAAATATTATCATTATTAATGATTGAACAGTAATTAAGCACTATGACAGTTGTTGATACATAGACTTAGATCAAAATAAAGAGTTTTTGTGTTTAAAGTTGTGAAAATGTTTTGTTTATAAAGTAAAGTATAAAACAAAAATTAGCCTCAGTGCTCAAAGAAAGTATCAAAGAGCAAATAATAGAACTAACGCTGACCTGAGAGGTGGACTGGAACATACCTTTTGATAGATAAAGATGAAAAGACTTAGTTTTAGCATCTATAAGCCTTAATTGCTTCTAAAAAGTATGTTAAAATAAAAACAAATGCTACTGCTAATAAAGTGTAGTAGCTGTCATGAGTGCGAATCCTCTTTGTTATTAATATTGTGCTTAGAATACAAATTTTCCTTAATTATTAATTGCTTTTTTTTCAGAACTAGCTACTTTATTATTTTTTCAGACCACTTGAGTCTTAAACAAATTTGTTATTATGTTAAATTTCTGAATTTTCACTTAAAGTTAAATTAAAAGTTTATATCAAATTTAGGAAATTCGTCTTACTATACGTGATGATTGTAATTAATTAATATTGCTCGCAAAAAGAAACACCATAAAACGAATTTAAACTTAAAATATTTAATAGTGCTTTATTGACTTGAGTATTATAGGTTCTTTTTAATTATTATAATAGAAAAAACGCAATAACTTACAATAATTATTGTTTTAATAATTACTCAATAATCCTCTTTCGTTATGAAGATAGTGTAAAGCTATTTTTTAAATAATAATTATCTAACTTTATATTATACGATAACGACAAGATATTAGATACCTACTTTAGTATTGGTTTCACTCTAAAAGGTATTCAATGCAAATAGAATTACGAAGCCCACTCTATTGTGTACTAAATATTTTGAAGATAATAAAATTATTTATTTTCTTACTTATTTTCAATTTAACGTGTTATATTGGTAACTTTAAGACTATAATTTCATTGACTTACTGATTTCAATTTTTAAATATTTTAGGTAAGTATATTATAATGTATTATACATTATTAAATATTACGATTAAGGTTTTAGTTTGTCGTTTAGTTCGTTATTGGCAAATCTTATGATTTATAACAACAATTGTACCTTGGGATTGATAAATTAGAAAACGCAAACTGACAAATTCAAAATGGAAACAAGTATCTACCGGAGAGCGAGTACTTAGTGGTTTTGTACCTACCTTAGTGTACCACATTCGTGGTCGATAGATAAGTGATAACCACTGAGTATTTAAAAAATATAAAAGAATCACGAAAACAATAATTTATTTTATCTATTGGTAAATCTTAGGCTATAATGCCTAAGCGGCTATATATTCTAGCTATTATATTATAATAAACAGCTATATTATTAAATAATTAAATTCGAATTTATTTTTCGGCTACCAAAGTGTGTGTCTAAGTTAAATTTAAAAAAAAAACGTTAAGGGTTTAATTATGTACATATTAGTCCCATAAAGGGACAGGTAACTGAAAATTAACTTTTGGGAAACTTTAAAGGGTCTGTATATTCTATATATTTTTCTAAAATTAAAAAAAAACTTCTACTTACGTGGACAAATTTCGGGGAAAATAAGTCCTATGGATTCGACGATTCTAAGTAAAGTTGATGGTTGATCGTAGAAGAAGACGTATTAGAATTTAAACATCGAACCCAGAGATCTTTAATCGCGTTAGGTATTTAAAGAATGTCAATGTATTTTTAAAATCGCAACCCGATAATTGTGTTTTACTGACGACTTCCACGCAACTACTTCCACACGCGTAAAATATCACATTAAATTAAACAAAAGCTAACGTTATAATGAAAGTGCATTTATTGTTTACGAAAATGTAACGAAAAAACCCCCGACTGTATTATTACAAACTTAAACACCAGTAGCCAGAAACGCAAGTCTTCCAACGCCGTACCGATGTGTGTAGCTAATTTATCATCGTCGATACATTGCTTTAACTACTCTAGCCTCTAAGAGATTAACTGATCACACACAAACTTGCCGACGGTTCCTGGTCCATATCGACGTCCGTTGCCCCTCCTCTAGCTTCGTTCACATGTAAAACGCGGCCTTGGGTAAATAATATATTATATTTTGTGACCTGACCTAATGATCATCGAGTTTGTTTGAAAGCTATTTACGTTAATTTCATAGTAATTCGTCAGTATTTATTTTTCATAAAAAATAATATGTCTTAAGAATTATACCTTCTTTTGCGTTAAAATAAGTAACATAATAAATAATAAGTACAACCAAAATGGCCACAGTGAGCTTTCAAAACATTAAATTTAACAAAAATTACACAAACTTTATTTCAAGCTTTCTTAATAGAAGGTAGTATTACAAAAAAAAATATTAAAAACAAAATTTAAGATAAAAACGTAATTATATTGACATTTGGATGTTATAATCGTGTACGCGCTCAAAAGTTTGACTGCAGAGGATCCATATAATTAGCGACTATGATGGATTTTCTCTATCGTGCACTCTACACTGTCGGAATGAAGTATGAATTGCATTATACAATTGCCATTGTGCTATTTTTTTTCGACGAATTCACGTATAATATTTTTATTTCGCATACAAATAGTGTAAAATTTACATGCATCTACAAGTTAATATATTATTATAAGACGTACAATATTCATTGAATCAATTTATGGCACACGTTAATTTTGAAGGACATGCTTATAGCTATGCAGTTTTTTTTAAACAGCAAGTGTCTCACAACTCAAATTTAATGCACCTGTTTGAAATATATTTTAATTTTGAATAAAATAGAGAGACTGATATTTAAATATTGATAAAATTTACGAAATAAACGATTATAAAAATAACCGTAAAAGAACAAAGTATCACTGTATAGATGCCTAATTTAGGCATACACAATATTTAAGACTCATATTAATGTGCATCTAGTTTAAAAGGTTAAAGACCAAATTTAATGAAAAACAGTTTTTACATTATTTTAAACATGACTTGGCTACTCTATTTAACATAAATAAGTGAAATAACATTCATTTTAATAACAAATCAGTTCTATTATAACCCATACATCAAGCATATATGTTTATATATAATTTATATACATATATATAATATATGTATAGGTCAAAACGCCAAGTACGAACTAACTTTTTGAGTATCCCCCTCCGTGGATCTTTTTAAAACTCACTCTGAATGTCTGTTACGATGAAAACTATAGCTCAAATTTTTTTTGATTATTTGGCATCTTTTTTTTTACCAGTTAATTATTTATTTTGAAAAATATTGCTTAGTATTGTAATCTTACTAAGTCAATGCCTCAATTTGGTGCCTTTAATACTTATACTCGACTTCGGTATCAATGACTCATGACTAATGAATGCTATACGATGATAAATATGTTATAATGAAGGATGCTAAGCATTAAGAAATATTTGTAATATTCTAACTTTTAATTTTCAATCACAACTATTTAAGAAACTTAATTTATAACTTCGTTTATTAACCAATCTATTGCTAAACTAAAAGTATAACCTATACACATTTTTGTAAAATTTGAATGTTAAAACTTAAGCACAAGATAGCAGAGATAGTACAACTATAAAGTTTGGTAAGTATACTTAAAATTATAATGTTGTACGATAGTATGACACAAATTAAATAAGTATAGTTTGTTATTTAAAATTTGAATTTGATTATTTATCCTTCCCGTACAAGCACTAAGTATTTGTACCTATGCGTACGTCTTATTCTGAAGCAACTTTACGAGTATATACACTTTTATACCTAGTAATAATATGGTACTTTATTATAGTGTTATATTATGTTAATTGATAACTTAAAACATTTATAATTAAGTTATCCAATCCGAAAATTATTTATATTCGTCAATAGCAATACAATTCCTTTTAACATAAACGTTCACTACAGTCTAGTACACGACGCTGATTCGACCTTAAGTTAAAAATATAGCACCAGAATCCAGGTGGCACCGGGCACGATAACAATTTTCTTAAGTTTATTTTTTTTATTAATGTTTTTGCGGGAGCAAGTAAACAAATAAAAAAAATTAAATTGCATTAGCGTATTAGGCAGCTAGTTATGTGAGGGAGGTAGGTAGGCGTATGTTCTATGAATTGCGTTGAAACTAAAAAAAAAAAAAACATTGCACACGCCGTTCTAATAGAAATCTGGTTTTCGCTATAGACCGTCGCGCGTTTTAAGGTCATCCGGACTCTGGCGAGTGATGCGGCCAGCAAGAAAAAGAACCAAGGCGTAAACGCAACCAGTGTGCAAGGTGCCTGGACAGACCGGCGCCAAACCGCGACGGCGCTGCACAATGTAATGTACAACCAATGCAGTTGTGCAACGCCTGCATCGTCGCATTAATAAAATGTGCACATAGTCATCGCCACGTGCGTCTGCAGTTCCGACAGGTTTTTTTTTTCTCACGGAACCACCTTCTCTACTGCGGACTAGGTAGTAGGTAGGTACTACTATTATCCCCTTCCCCTCTCCGTTGCATATAATGTCCACTCCGTCTATATCTACTGTGACTATGATGGAAATACTAATAATACATTTATAATAAAATCGTGTGTACGGATTAATATATAAGGAAATACAATTTTTCACAACAAAATTCGCCAATAAAATTATTAATCATACATAAACTTCAAATTTCCGGACGGTCAACTTTCTAAACGCAATATCTCAAGGTCTTATACCTGAAAAACGTCGAAAAATTTAGATACCTACTATGTTAAAGGCCAAAGCGCAAGGTCTAAAAATTACCATTTTTCTTGTATATAATTACACAAAAATCCGTTTAAACATTTAAAGATTTTAAAAGAAAATCGCATTGTTGTAAACAATTTCTGGATTTATCTGTTAATACAGGGTAAGATGCAGGGGTACAATTCCGCTAAAATAAGGAGGGGAGGAATTAAACACTGGAAATATTAGAAAATCCCCTTTCCTCACTACTAATGAGTAATGGTATGAAGCAGAAACAATTTTGGAGAGGCTAATTTCTAAACTAGAGGTGCTAAGCACATCCAAGCTCCCCCAAATTGCGCCTATGGTTAGATGTTTTTTTCAAATAGGAAAATAAGGTAGCTAAACAAGCAAGACAGGGAAGGAGGGAAATACGAAGACTGCAAGAAAGGTAGAACATTTTATGAAGGAAGTTTATGAAGTAGGGTAGAGAGCTAACCTATGATAAACGGACATAATGATGGGTTTCATATAAATAATATTGTCATATATAGATAGATATTAATTAAAACTCGTCCTTTTATAGCGTATGAGCGTTACTCGTTAATAACATCTTTGATTTCCACATAAATACCGCCAGGCCGGTTCTATATACGCGACTGTTAACGATTTATGCGCTTAACATCAAATAAATAAATGTAAACTTTTGCATTAAATCGATACGCTCAAGCATTACAGATACACAATGTTAATAATAATTGAACGTGCACATACAACAGCAAACAATGGAGTACACAACCTGAAGTGCAAGTGCAGTGTCATTACTCGCACCCCCTCCCCCCCCCACCCCGCAGTTACCCTTGGGGACGCGGATCCGTCACCATTGAATAAACTTATATTGTAATGATGTACTAGGTAATGGTATTACCTAGTATATTATTATACAGTATAGTGTGTTATTATTATGTATTATATGCATGTGCACTGTGGCCGCCGGATGGCGTGGTTGCATATGCCTCAACTTCAATGTTCTTCAATACATATCGGCATTTAGCGGAGATGTCGTACGCGATCACATAAAGTGCACGCGTTGTCAATATGCCAATCAATTTTATTATTATATATACTATTTGGTCGTGAGGGTCACACGCCCACTGCAGGCGGCTTGTCTATAATGCATACGATTTTTTTTTAATATAATATTATTAGGTACATACGTGTACTTCGTCTTGACCATGGGAATCGCATTATTGCACGTATGTTCTATTATTATGTACGTGCCGCGTGTATGAGCTAGTATTTGCTTTATATAAACTATAATATATACATTACATATATGACGAATGAGTGTAAGTACACTGTAAATATATATATATATATATATGATGTATAGAATTTGCACGTTGAAAAATATTGGCCGTATTTAGCGAAAACTTCACGAATGAGAAATCCACCGTTGAAGTCATCGCAAAGTTTCAAAGGAATCGTTGGTAACATGTATGACTCGCTGGCGACAATCTATGACAATAATTATATTATTATATCTAAACGTGCAGTGAATTGGCAAACTAAATTGCATAAAACCTAAACAATGTAAAAGTATTGACACGTGTAAAACTAATGGGAGGATAATCCTCCACCCCGTCATTTTTGTTTCGTCCAATTACAACACTGGATGATAATTAGATAATTATAATAAATATTTTGTTTTCAAAGATCGTGTACTAGCAAAAAATATGATGACCACCATATTTTCATCGTCTCTATTAAATTGTATTTCTTCTAAAAAAATGAATTGTACACTGTACAGTGACATGATTCACTGCCATACCAAGTGTTACACAACTAAATAAAAACTAATTAAAAATAAATATGTATTATTCAGGCAAATGCCTTTTCCCATAATATCAATTAAAGCATATTGAATTCGATAATTTATTAAACTCGGGGAAATGTTAATAGAGGGACACTGCGGTAAAATTATTAGATACCAAGCCCTCATTACACCAACAATAAAATGGAAACAGATTAATTTAAAATAGTAATCGAATTAAAAAACAAGTTAACCGTACAAAGCTGTCGAACGTGTATTTTTAAAAAGTAAGTACTAACTTATATACAAGCTCTAAAGCCAAAAAATATACAACTATATCTCGACCGACTGTATAAATATGTGGAGTTACATAATATAATAATATCAGAATAATTATTTTTGTATACCAAAAGGCAGCCGTGGTCGATACTCATGTGATTAGGCAATTATGTTATGCATAAATACATTGCAATAAAATAAATAGTGTATAAATCGTGTTGGAATGTAAAATATACTGAACTCGCATACCTTATCATTTTTACTGTATAATTAATGACATACAAATAAGTACTTGTTTTTAAACGATTTTA